TTTCATTTTTATTTATCTGAATGAAATCGAAGATTTGACAAATTTTGAACACCGAACTAAGAGATCTATTATAGAACACTGTTAATAATAAAACTTTTTAAAGTTTGGATATTTCAAATATATATTTCATTCATTACATACCCACCTTATTAATTGTGTTATTAATGCTTGACGTGTCCATAAAATAGTTGACTACTGAATTTAATTTCCATGGAGGAAGGAATCATTTCTTTAACCCGGAGTTACGAGTAGGTACAGCAGCATCGTAGATGACAACAAGAGTTATTATGGCTCATGACCTGTAAATGTAACGTTTATTAGAGAATCGTAGTGGGTTGATTAAACATTAAAATGAGTTGAAGACATTTAGGTGCCCTAATAGATAATTGACAAATATTATTAGGATTTTTTTATTTTTCAATTAAAAAATAAGGTATTTTGTTTGAGTTACATGTGTACGCCGGAACGTAAGCCTATACGTATATACGTAGACGTGAACGTGAAGGATATTTGAATAGGCATGCTACACTTTATTTAGTTTATTTTTACTGATACACTAATTTACATTGTCAATATTTGTTTCAACCTGATGATAATTTATTATCTATTTATATACATGTGTGGTGCCCCATATCAGACTTACTCTCGAATATTCCAAACGTCCTTCGACTAAGAATCGCTACTTCTAGTACCAGCACCTCCACCAGAATTTTTGTTTCTAGATGATTCGTCAACATTTTTCGATGTGTCCAGCATATTCTACAATCAACGGTTTACTTCGACAGGCAATGACTGGTAGGTGCGTTTCGTAGAGGTTTCGGAGGTTAACTTATTCTATCTAATATTTTTGGTAATTGGAAAATGGAGGCCGTAAAGGCCCAAATAAGGCAGAAAGTGACTTAATGGATTAGAGCGAGCGGTCTAGTCGAAAATGGCTCGCGTGACATAAATGACAGATGTAAATTCAGCACACCACAAGCTTGTTAACATTTGCACAAGAATATAATAATTTGGTCATTTTAATCTTTTATCTGGTTATCGGCAATCGTCTATGCCTTTATTGTTTGTAGTCGTCGTTAGACTGTTCCTGCCAACCACACCTCGAATTTTCTGTAATTGTCCGGTACTAGGAATAGTAGCAGTTTCTGGTATTGGGGCTACGGAAGAGGTTATCACCACATGCTATTTACAAATATTTACTATTATTAGTTTTTCAATTTTTGGGTATTAACTCTTAACTGGTCCGACACTCTGCAGTAACGTAACTGGTCTGACGTAGTCTGTGAGACTACTTGTTTTCGGAGGGCAAAAAAAATAAAATAGGTAAAATGAAATGTTTTATTTAACATAGATGTTAAAAACATTACTTAATAATAATAATAATAATATGTAAAAATAAACATATTTAAAACTAAATAAAAACAAAATTAAACCCAAAACTAAAACCCGCTTAGAAATTTTGAAAAAGTACATATTTTTAAACGAAAGCCAGAAAATACAAGAGAAAAAAAAAATTCTTTCATATTGCAATATTAAATTGTCAAAGTGTTAGGTAAACAAAAACTTACATAAAATACAAATTTAAAAAAAACATTTGATTTTCAGCATGAGCTAAAGTTCACTACCCTTGAACTAATTTCTGTCACAGCTTTTAGGAAACTGACGCCAGCCTGTCGCAAACATGGCTACCTGTCGAGCTACAATAGGGGGAAAGGAGTAGATGTAAGGACCTTCCTGTGGGAGGTACCAATAACCAATAAGAAAAAATTGTTTATATCGCGTAGTCTGTCAGACGACGCTTAAGTTAAGGGTTAAAATGTATCCGTAAATGACGTAGGTAGCCTATCAAAAAATTATTAATATCACCTTTACATAATAAAAAAAAATTAAAGTTGAAGTAGTAGAGGAGATGAAAAACAACGACCTGTGAACTGGACACTTTAAATCACAAATATCTTAACATATAGCATAAAAAACGATATACATACACCAAATCCCAGAGATATCCACAGAATATCTTTTGTGGATATCCAATATATCCACAGGATATCAGAAATATTCCGTGGATCTAATATGGATATCCAAATGTCCGTCTATATCCAGAATATAGAAGATATCCTATGGATTATCCAGCAAAATATCTAATGGGTATCTTCCAGACAATACGATAAATCCCAGAGATATCCACAGAATATATTTTGTGGATATCCAATATGGATATCCAACCAAATGTCCGTCTATATCCCAGGATATAGAAGAATTCGGATATTCAGCAAAATATTTTATGGGTATCTTTAGTAGAGGTTCATAAAAGTAACCAATGTTTATTGAATAACGTCGAACGAAAACAGCAGAGAAAAAATATTTTCAACACTCTGCCTTTGATTTTGCCCACTAAGGAGAAAGTCATCCTTATTAGGACTCTTCAGCAATAAATGGAAATTCTCGACTCCAGTCTCTAATGGAGTCTGATTGGGAAACAAATTTCGATCGAACTCAATTACGGCGGGTTAAGCATGAGTAGATGCGAAAGTGGTATCGCCATCTATACTTAGTAAGCAAAATCAAAAATTACATCTAGGGATATCCACGATGGTTTGCGTTCGCGCCTAGACTTTGATTATTTAGTGGATGTCCATGGGATATTGAATACACCTTAAAAAAATTAATTTTAAATATCTGAACGGTACAATTAGCCACAATGGCGTAATTTTTTAATAATTTGCTATATAATTACTATTATTTATGCACATTTGCATGTCTATAAATTACATCTCATGGATATAAAATAGATATCCACCATGGACTGGACATTCAGTGGATATTGGGATGTTCAGTAGATATCCAAAGGATTTGGTGTGCTGTCTGGGTATCAAATAAATTATAGGGGGCTCTTATATTCAATGTAGAAACGAGTCGACCGGAACGTCCGGTACTGGAAACTGTTCGGCGCTGGCCCAACTTCCCCTGCCGGCAAATTCAAAAAAAACTTGAAAAAACTCAAATAATCTCACTTTAACGTATTTTTAAAAAATTATCAATCAGTTGTTGGTCAAACCATTTCACAAATAAGATCGTGGTATCTATGCCGATAATAGAAAAGAATTCGGCTCAAAACACAAAACCGTTTTCATTACAGCAGCATGTTAGTATATTATGACATGAGAGTTGCATACGCTCGATAAATAATCAAGAACTATAAATATTATATTTATATTGAACACAATAATAGTAATTACTCGTATTTCTATAAAAAATTCTACAAAATTGTAATTAATGGTATTACCTCGGGTATGGGTATTACCCATGTATTACCATAGATTTTTGAGGCAAAATATTTTGTACTGCATTTTCTGCTTTCTCCGATATGTGTTTGTAGGAGTCGATGATAACTCTTCTATATCGCTGATATCAGACATTTTGATAATATAATTATCGAAGTTTAGCTATCTACGAAAATGTAATACGTACTGATTTTGACAACTAAAACAATTACATAGGAACCATAGATATGGGAGGAATAGGAATCTAGGACAAACGTCAAATGCACAGCATGCTTGATTGAAAAATTATGGGTTTCTGTTTCTATTGATTAAAAATCTGAATCGTTATGAAAAATCTGTTTCATAATGGGTATCATTATGAAACGGATTATAGGCATATAAGTGCATTATTATAATACGGGTGTAGAAAAAATATATTATACGTTTTTCTTTATTTGGAGGAGGATTCACAGCAGATCATTTAGCACAGGGGTTCACAAACTTTTTCAGTTTGCGGCGGCACTTATAGGTTTAGTATTTTGTCTAGGCGCATTAGGGTTGCCAAAAAAGAGGGGTACTTTCTGGCGAGCTTCTAAAAAAAAGGTCCTCATCAGCTTATATGACCTCGAGAAGTCCTCGTCAGCTTATGGCGAGTAACCCACGCAAGCAGCGGGATTTGAATGGTTTATAATAGCTGTAATTTCCTCACGGCTCCCCTGTTTACTCTACACGGCTCCTCAGGGAGCCGCGGCGCACATTTTGGGAACCACTGATTTAGCAGATTGACCCTCCATCCTTTCTTTGCAAGTGTCGTACTAATATGTAATATCAAAATAGACTATGAATCTATCTTCCTGACAAACTTTTATTCTACTGAGGTATTCATTACATAAACTATTGTTAGAGATTCCATAATAGTGTGCCTTGATATTTAAGGTACAATATCTAAAACTCAAAGAATGATACTCTTTTCTAGTAGTATTATTAGACTTGTATAGGAAAGCCGGAACCAATTTAATTTCATTTTTAAGCTTATGAAAAAACGGAAGCATAAAAATTATACACCTTTCTTCTAATTATTCTCCATCATGCAGTGATATAGACTGACCAGAGACCAGTGATTTCATTTTTTTCTAGTAAGACATTCCTCATTTGTAATTACTTTTCTAATGGTGGGTTTTGAAATTCTTTTTCTCTTTTGAGAAGAGTTTGTCTTTACCTAGCTATGATAGATGGTTTTTTATGAGTAGGCATGAAATTAATATTCATTTTGTACATAAAGATCCCTCATTTTTTGTTAATAAGTCCTACTTTAAAAACATCAGTAGGTAGGTATAGTTATAAATATGTATTTAGTGACTGTAAATTAGCAATATCCAGCGACGGTCATAAGAGAATAGATGGATGGACAAGGGCTCTATAGTTCAATCTAATATGTAAAAATAACAGTATCGACTCGATCTAAATGTGAAAATGTACAGCTACCTACAACCCTGGATGGACTGAAAAAGAGGAAAAACCTTTTTTTCAACTTTTAGAAAATATTTATTTTTTTTTTTTATTTGGTGTCATCGCATCAACTGCTAAGTTTATTAGCCTCGTGTTCTGTGTAGGCTTTGTTACTGTTTCCCAGCGCCACTTTAGGAACAGCACTGTTAATTAGAACCCAACAGTGAATTATTATTCATAATTTTTTGTTTGGTTCAAAACAATTAATAATTTAAGTTAAATAACTCTTTAGTAAAATAATAACATTACAGATAAAAAGTAAACATGACTGAAATAATGTATAATTAACCAAACTAATATGAAAAAATAAATATATTAACTAAATTGGTTTATTCGTATTTATTAAATTATTTACATATCTATAACGTATAATCTAGCTTGATGCATTTTTGGTTTTAACTTCTTTTAAATTGGAAATACTTTGTAAAACACTTCGTAATTGATTCTGAACATTCACAGCTTGAACACTCCATTGTAAAGCTTGCCTAAACATTTTTTGGGCAAAATTTAGATTTTGAGGAACGAGAATTCCAAACCACCTGAGTGGTTCCTGTACATTTTCATCTTCAGTTTTCTTAATTTCTCGAAGATTATAAACATTTCGTCCTAATAAAGCTTCATCAACTTCTACCTTCAAACCAGCTGAAAATTCCGGGCTGTTTTCAGTCGGTAATTGCAAGGCAGAAACATTGGTTAGGCCAAGAATGTATCGTGACTTTGCTAAATGGGCTTCGCCCCCCGACATTGCGTTTTCGATGTTTAATTTCAAATCAATTTCTTCCTGCATTAAGTAAAGGGCATCTAATGTAAGTTTATCTAGCGTTTCGCATATTTTATCCAAATCTTCGTTCGCATTACACATACTGATGTTTTTCGTTTACAATTAAAATTTATTTTTACTTTGTAGAACACAGGAACAGAACAAAACACAGAACCAGCTGACTGACAGCTAATCAGCTGATAAAATTAACGTATTTTTGCGACTGCAGATTGACATCGGTTGGCATTATGCATCACAAAAAATGACTATAGTAACTCTTGACAGTTGTGTTGCGTGTTTTGTGCTGAACAGTGTCACACCATACTGGGGTCTATTTTCAAAGTATGGGAGCACTCATTTCTCTTTTCTCTCAAGATTCTCATTAGAAATGTCATACGTCAATGTGGAAATGTTGTTTTTAAAGGCATCGAGGATTAAAATTCTTAGGAAGATTTTAATTCTCTCTAAATAAACCGAGAGAAACAGTCGGTGAGTTCACACTGGCCCTAAGAGCCCTAAAAATACGGTTTTACGTTGACGTATGACATTTCTCTTGAGAGAAATGAATCAGAATGAATTCTCTCGAGTTTGAAAATAGCCCCCCTGGGGACCTATTTTCAAACCGTGTGAGTACTCATTTCTCTCAAGATTCTCATCAGAAATGTCATACGTCAATGTGGAAACGCTGTTTTTAAAGGCCTCGAGGATTAAAATTCTTAGGAGGATATTAATTATCTCTAAATAAACCGTGAGAAACAATCAGTGAGTTTACACTGGCCCTTAGGACCCTAAAAATACTGTTTTACGTTGACGTATGACATTTCTCTCGAGAGAAATGAATCAGAATGAATTCTCTCGAGTTTGAAAATAGCCCCCCTGGGGACCTATTTTCAAACCGTGTGAGTACTCATTTCTCTCAAGATTCTCATCAGAAATGTCATACGTCAATGTGGAAACGCTGTTTTTAAAGGCCTCGAGGATTAAAATTCTTAGGAGGATATTAATTATCTCTAAATAAACCGTGAGAAACAATCAGTGAGTTTACACTGGCCCTTAGGACCCTAAAAATACTGTTTTACGTTGACGTATGACATTTCTCTCGAGAGAAATGTCATACGTCAACGTAAAACAGTATTTTTAGGGTCCTAAGGGCCAGTGTAAACTCACTGATTGTTTCTCACGGTTTATTTAGAGATAATTAATATCCTCCTAAGAATTTTAATCCTCGAGGCCTTTAAAAACAGCGTTTCCACATTGACGTATGACATTTCTGATGAGAATCTTGAGAGAAATGAGTACTCACACGGTTTGAAAATAGGTCCCCTCGGGTCACACATGTGTCACATCCAGTTTTGCCATTTGGGTGGAAATTTCCCTCTTGGGTGGAAATTTTGGGTGTATGCATAATTTTTGGGGAATTTGCTCCTATAATGACTTTTTTGCTAATTAATCTTGGGTTTTTTCTTTTTAATAAATAGATAATATTTATTTATTACTTTATTAGGTTAATGATGTGTGAGAAAATCAAACCAGACACACATACCTATGTTTTATGTTTTGAAATTATTTTTTATTTTATCTTGCTATATTTTAAAATAACATATATGTTTAGATATTGTTTAAAAAGTGTGTTTGCAAAGATCTGATTTTTTCAGAGATGTACTTTTATTTCCTCATTTACAATGATTTATACTTTTTTAAATTCTTGTAATTTAAAAGTATTTTGCAAATTCTTAATATTTTATTAATAAGTGATGCAGTACTTTTTTCATCGAGAAAACTTGTATCGAAAACATTTATTTTAGTGTGGGTGGAAAAAGTGGATAATTTTTGAAACCGTGGGTGGATAGAGGGAATTTAGGGATTAAGCGATGGGAAATTTTAGATTTTCGATTCGGCAACACTGGTCACATCTCACATCAGTGTTGCCACAAAGCACATATCTTCAGTGTTGCCGTTGTCACTATATTTATTGAAATTTTAATATTTTTTTTGTTATGGATTAGGGGATTATCAGCTTAACTTTATAATTTATCTTATGTTTTTAATAACGTAAATGATTTTATATTTAAAATATTTCGGAGGTTGACTTATTTTATAGAATATTCTTAATAATGGGAAAAATGGAGGCTGTAAAGGGCCAAATAAAGTAGAGAGGGACTTAAGGAATTATGCTAGGATCTAACTGGTCAAAAATGACTCGCATAATATAACTTCTCATTTAATATTAATGTTAAACACTTGTATTAATGTGTCTTCTGGATCCGGATTACAAGACATACTATTGCCGCGTTTGAGAATCCACATCGGATACATTTTTTACATCTCGAGCGTTTTTTTATCCACATCGGACACATCTGTCCCATTACATTTACGTATACTGAATCACGTGATCAAAGATTTTTTACATCTCAGATGCATCCGATGTGGATTCTCAAACGCGGCATAAGTAACCAAATTAGAGATCGATTTAAATTCAGTGACCCAATTTTAAATCCAAGCATAGTGCTTTAGACAGATTCATTACTTACTTTGTATATTATTTTTATTCGAAATTCTAGTTTTTTCATCCCAAATTAGACATTAGTTCTATTTCTTTATCACCTTTTGGTTCAAAATCATATCACCATAAAATAAATTGGTGTTGCACAACACTGATTTTGTGAGCGGAAACGTAATTGAAGCCTCCTCTCGGAGTATTGATGGATGCGGATTTAAGAATCATATAAACAAATTAATACAACGAGCTTATTTTACACTAAAAATTCTTTATTACAATAGACATTTTCTGTCAATCCATATAAAAAAGTCTTTATGCGAATCTCTTATCTTGTCGATTTTTAATTATGCTGATGTTCTATACGGTCCGAATATAACTACAGATTACAAGAGAAAAATTCAAAAAGTACAAAATACGTGTTTGCGATTCGTATATGGTATCCGCAGAAGACAACGAATATCATATAAACTAAAACAAATTGAATGGTTGAATATGGACAATAGGATTCATCACGCATTGTCTTTTTCATAAAATTATTACCACAAAAAACCATCATATCTCCATAGGAAGATTACATATCGCACCGACATACATAATTTAAATGCGTTAGATTTAGTGGTGAAATTACAGTTCCTCGATTTAGAATTGAAATGTATAGGCAGTCCTTTAAATACCAAATATTTAAATTATACAATTCTTTACCATGTGAACTGAAAAGTTTAAATATAAACAAATTTAGAACTATATTAAAAAACCAGTTGTTTAATTCTCAGACTTAATTTAGAGATCTACATTAAACATCAAACAGACTTTCTTGTGTTCAAGCAATATACAAACATTTTCGTTTTCGTTAAAAAATTACCATTTAGTACAGGTTGTTTGGGTTTTAAGGGTTAAGTGGTAGAACATGCTTTGTAAATGATCAAACATTTACAAAGGATGAACTTCGCCTATTATTTCTATATTTTGTTTTATTATAAAATATTTATATTTTGTTTTGTATTTTTATAGAAATAATAGCTTTGTTCCAACATACACACAAACCGTAATATTACGGTCATCGTCATGCGCAGTAAATAAAAACCTATCAATTAAGCCCAAAGTCGAACGGTTTTTATTTACTGCGCATGACGATGACCGTAATATTACGGTTTGTGTGTGTGTTGGAACAAAGCTAATAAAGACGTTATTATTATTATTTTAAAGTACCTAACCAATAGGGTTGCCACAGTATCCAAATAATTAAACAAGTACATTATCAATAAACAATTTATTAACAAATGCTTATATCATTATCCTACACATACATTTTATCACAGTTTAATGCAGACAGTACTTAGCAGTGTAACTATGACTTATTTATTAGAAATGTAGAAAATTAACTTATTCTATAGAAATAAGATTTTTAATTTAAAATTTGGAAACGGATTCTGCAAAAGAAAATATTCACTAGAAACTCAATAGTATAAACTCCTATATCACTCAAGAGAAAATTAGTCATATTAGATTTGGCAAATTAACTACTGGTAGACATGTAAGGAGGGATAAAGGTGAGACGCACCTTGAATTTTTACTCACTTTAGCCTCTTGGTGACTTTGTTAACTAGTTCAAAACAGTTTTTTGAACAAAGAACTAAGAGGAAACACATTTTCTGAATAACTGAATACTTGATAGCAAAGACAATTGCATTTTTACTGGACTTTGTTTAAACTATAACAATATGTTGATACAAAATATTCCTAGCTGCAATAAAATTTCCTGCAGCTTTATAAATAACGTGTAGGTTAAAAGCAGCCTCTCTTTTCAAACACATAATCTCAGGATATTTTTCCAAGTAGTCATTATGAACTTTAAAAACTTTATTATAATAATATTCTGCCAAGTACATAACACCTAATTGATGGTACATTCTCCCCAAATTATAATAAATCTCTTGCTCTGCTAATTTTGTTCGCATCTTAGAATAATTTATAAATAGATGTGTAATCGTTTCAGTCATAAGTCTTTTTTTATCTTTTTCTACCCTTCTGTTGCAATAATGTTGAAGCATCGTCACTGCCAGTAAAAATGCGGACGTGATGGATTTAGTTTGCTTGAAAGATTTAAGAAAATAGTTGATAGCTGCAATATAATTTCCCACACATAAATTATAGTTTGCCAGCATAATTTTTCCATTTTCTGATGTAAGGTTATTGCTGGCTCTTTCCAAGAACCTTGGAAATCGTACATCATCAGGAGTGGAGGTTATGAAACCAAACCAATTCCAACACAAGTTGTTGTTTGGATATTTTACTAGAACATCTCTTATCAATGTGTAACCATGGAACACATCTAAAGTCAGAAGGCAACTATAAAAAGCCAAGATGTGAATGTCACCTAAAAAAAAAGTATACACAGGTTTTATTCATGGAGTAAAAATGTTTAATGCCTATAACTGCATATTTTTAATACCTTGGTAAACAAATATATGACTTACTGAAATATTTTTGGAACCTTTTGGATATCAATCCCATAAATACAAATTTCTTCAAGTAGTCACATTCCTTTCGGTCCAAAGCCAACTGTAAGTTTTCCAAATACAAAGTATATTCTTCCTCTATGCTTGGTTCCCTAATAATATCAAAATTTGTTTCAACATTAGTACTGTCACTTCTGAAATTCCTCATTTTCTTCAGCTTAACAATCTTTTCTTGGTATCTTTCTTTAGTTAATACTATTTTTAGTTCTTCTGGATATTTAAGACTGCAACAATGCCTTGACAGCAATAATTCCATACTTGTCCAATAACCTTCCCAATCATTTAACTGTTTTAATAATTTCATTTGTTCAAGTAATACAGCCACATCTAATTTATTAGTTTGTAAATCCTGGGACATCACTTTCAGAGCTTCATCTCTATTGTTTTGTTTAAGTAATAACATCGCTAGGGGATAAAGAACTTCTACATGGCCTGGGGCCAAATTCCTTACTGTAAAATATGCATCAATAGCTTGTTCTATCAAATTACAAGCTGCTAAGCATTCTGCATATTTCAACCAAACTCCAGCTAGTGAAAAACTCTTACTTTTTACCAAAGCTATAAGCAGTTTCAATGCTTCCTGGTAATACCCTACATGCATTAAAGATTCCGCTACATCCAAATATAAATCACCAAAAGTTTCTACATCTTCTTCAATAAGCATATTATTAACCATTGGAGGAAATAAATGTTCTGCTCTTAACTTGACTAGACAAGAAATAAATTTAGTTTTCAAATCAAGAGGTAACTTATCAGGTATCTCAAAGGAGTTTATAAGTATATTATTATCTTCAGTTAGTGTTACATCAAAAGTGAATCCACAGAACTGAGTAAATATATCTAAACAATCTGAGAAACGTTCATTAATTAATAGTAACTCTAGCATTACATTGATAATATCTTGAGTAACGCATGATGGAATTCTTTTTAAAGGGATCCTTAAGGCTTCTATGGCTCTAAGGTAGCTTTTATTTTTATAGTGCTCCTTAGCAACTTCCATTGATAAGTTAATAATTGTCTGGCTATGTTTTCTAGGAATGTTGTTGGCCATAGTTTGTTTAGCAATTAGTACATGTTTAGTAATACCTGTAAAATTTTATGAATTAGGAATTATTTTCATACATAATAAGAACATTCATGATTACATATTGGTACTTTACAAAAGGAAGTTTCCTTTTCTAAAGTTTTTTCTTTCTTACACCTTAATTTATATTTTTTTCTTTGTAGTTCTTGGGTTTTTAGGTGCTAGTGAGAAATGAAACTCATGTATGTGTGGGTAAAGCTTTCGGCACTGATCAGTGCCTTCTTCAGTAGTTTTTTTCTGTAAATTATTTTTTTTTAAACATCAAAAACCGTTCTACAAGAAAAAATTGTTTTTTTATAGTTAACATTTAATTTTTTTAATTGTTTTTGGCTTACCTTTAGTACAAAGTTGGGGTGTGTCCTTATAAATAATTTTTTCTTGTAGAACGGTTTTTGATGTTTAAAAAAAATAATAATTTACAAATAAAAAAAACTACTGAAGAAGGCACTGATCAGTGCCGAAACCTTACCCACACATACACAAGTTTCATTTCTCACTAGCACCTAAAAACCCAAGAACTACAAAAAAATTCTTGATTGCAAACATGAAAATACGGCCTAAATCAGATGGAACACATCTTTAAAATTAATCTGCAGTTAATGAGTGCTTAATCTATTGGTGTGAATGAACCGCAAACAACCACTGCTTTGTGGTGGTTGGTGTGCCGCCTAAATTATACCTAAAGAAATCTTACCTCTCTGCTCTAACAATTCTAGTCTTTTGGTGTGAATCAACATATTTTGAGGATTATATTTGAGCGATCTCACATAGCATTTGATTCCTTCAGACAAATCACCATCTTGTATACACAAATCTGCTAATCTACAGGTGATAGCAATATCGTGTGGTGCCAAATGACTTGCTAACATTAAGTATGCTTTATATTTTTTTACATTTGTACTTTCATACATCTGAGATAAAGTCAAATATGGTTCATAAACATCAGGTGCCTGCCTAATTACCTCAAAACACATCTTCTTGGCTGTTTCTAGATCGCCTCTAGCATAACGAAGATTTGCTTCACCCATAAGACCTTTCAAATGAGGAGGTAGCTTAGTGGTGTCTTTTCTTGAAAGCGGTCTCTTAGATTTATCCGGAAAAAGAGCTAAAAATATATTTTAAAGCAAAGTCCTATTTAAGATTTTAAATAAATACCATCTTCTTCATCACTAAGGTCCGAATTTTTTTCCTCGGATAAATAAAGCTCGTCAGTTTCCTTAGAAGAACTAGGTCCTGCAATATTTTCACTCATGATGTAGAAAGAAATATTATACAATTAGTTGTCTCTGATTATACAAATATTTTTATTCGACTCTTATTATTGAAATCAAAATATAAATATGAGCCAAAAAAAGAAGTTATTTGTTAGCATTTTAGAACTTTAAAAACGATCTAATAGCCAAAATGAGAAAAGGCTAATCCGATTCTCATTTTCTTCTTTTTCTCTAATCAGTGTAATTTGTTAAATGCCAGAAATGTCATTAGTGTCAGTACTGTCAGTGTCAGATTGTCGTCTGTTGATGAATGGAGGTGCTATTTGTTGTCAAGATGCCTTTAATAAATTATGATATATGAGGGTTACAAAATAAACAGCAATGAATAAAATACAAAGTGGTAAAACTTTAACAGCTCTTGAATGTAATATACATAATTTTATCTTAATTTTAGTTAGTGGAGCACCTGCTCCACATAATGACAAAAGCAAAGACTGGCAGCTAGAAATATTAATGGAAAAGCTAAGATCCAAAGCTTCGCAATTTAAAACTCTGGCCGAAATTTCGAAAAACGTTCGAATGACTTTACTTGTAAGATAAACAATTATCATTTTGGGATTTTTTTTTAATAACTCATTTTTAGGAAAAAAGGTATGCTTCTGATAGTGTTGAAAAAAGCCAACATCAGAAGTGTTTGGACACTTTACAACACTCTATCAAAGTCACTTCTTTGCAAAGTATGGTAGAGAGATTAGAAAGTTTAACTAGACAATTAGGGTAAGCTTACTACCACATAATAATTTTGTTTTATTCAATTTGAACTCGCCATGATATCTACCATTGTGACGGCACTGTAACCCTTTAATATTTATTGAGACTTTTAGAGTGAATACTCTTTCCAGCTCGCATAATAAAAATTCTAAATGTGCATGACTATATTATAGTATATAGAGGTGAGAAAATGTCTACTTAGATTTGTCACCTGAGTGGTAATTAGAAACCCATTCATTCTGGTAATTATACCTGTAAACTGCTGCTCAATTGTGGTTTGAACTTCATTTTTATCAAATTTTAACAATATTTTGAACTTGTCAAAGCACTATTCTAACTAAAAAATTGTGTATATTATATCTGTAATTTTTCTACTTGGGTACAATATTTCTAAATTACTTATAAAAGCACTGAATATAGAAAAAATATATTTATACTTTGCTTTGACTGAACTTTTTTGTTTTTGATTTGTTCTAAATCAAAAACTTGTGTTACCTCTCTAAGAAGTTTAATTCATTTTGATATTTATAATATATGAGAATGTGCTATACCTACGGAAGTATAAAATCTACAAAAATGGTTACAATGCAGTCTCATTCTATGTTTGAGTTAATTATTAAAATTTGCTTACAAATTGAAGTGATTTCTTTTCTCTTTAAAAACTCACCTGCATGTTCTATCAAATAAGGATCATGTTGCTGCTCATGAATTTTTCTGTATCTAACAAAATTTGTCTTGCAGTACCCTGTAAATGATCTAATTTTATTGAATTGTATTTGCTTTGAAATATTCACTGCTTTTCTACTCGAATTAAAAGCTAACACTTTGGTAATACAACTACCTGTTGATTTGAACAATAAGATATAGTAAATTCTTATTAATATTTTGCAATAAAAACTAATTTCATATATATATATATATATATATATATATAATATATATATATATATATATATATATATATATATATATATATATATATATTCTTTATTTCGTCAATAGGCTCATCTTACAAATATTATAAAAATATATTTAACCCACAGTTCACAAGCTTATAAATTATAGTTAAAATTTATGTTGACACAAATGAAATAAAAGAAACAGTAAAACATCTAAACATTTTAATATTTGTTATTAATACTCATCCAATAGACAAACTTTGAGATAATATTTAAAGCTACTCAGGGAAACATACTTTTTAACAAAGTTTGGAAGTTGGTTATATTCTTGGAGCCCTTTGAAAACAACAGAATTTTGTAATTTTCTTTTTATTACTGGTGGTATATAAAAATGTCGACTGTTCCTTGTGTTATGTTGGTCATATATGGCCAAACATAATGCTATTAGTTAGGGTATTCTTCTGTACATCCGTCTTTTATCATAAATATAAATACTTCTAGTGTTTGAAACTTCTAGAACTCTTCAATAGAAAGCTATTGCAACTGCGTCAACATTTGACATAATCCATAACTACAAAGAATTGTGTGCATTTACAATTTTTCCAACCAGCTTCTTTCATTTTGATTTAAAATAAATAGTGCTGGTGAACATTAAGTAAAATGAGATAAGATTAACATATTACAGATGACTGTTTTTAACTAATGTGAGAGGTATATGAAAATAAGTTACTTTTAAAGAGATAGTTAATTAGTATGAGCTTCAAATGTTAGTCTTTTGTCAAGAATTACACCTAAGCATTTAAATTCTTCAACAACAATAAATTTTTCTTATTCCATCTCATTGCTAATTAACATTATACTTAGTCTTTTTTAAATAAATAAATTTGCATGTGACCATCTATAGATTTTCTCTAAATTTCTATTGATAGTATTTACAGCATTTTAAATCTTAGCAGATGAATAAATAAAAGTGTCAAAAACAGTTCCCTGAAGTACCCCTTGCAAACTTTGAAGATTTTTACTTTGACTTCCTGTTTCATATAACATGTGCCTTCAATTCACATATTTTGAAATTTACAAATATGCCTGTATCTATCAACTGTCTTAAAGGTTCGTTGGAGATACAGAAATACAGTTGTAATAATATTATCTTATCTGTCTCTCCAGTTATCAAGTAGTGCAGTCTCACATAAAATTCATGCAAAATCTAGTAACTTTCAATACTCTCTAAAATATTATAACTATCACTTTTATGCTGATGATACGCAAATATACTTTTCTTTTAAATATGAAAATTTAGTAGAATCTTCTAATTTAATTAATAGTGATTTAAAGAATTTAGCAAAAACTTCGTCCAATCACCTTCTAAAATTAAATCCACTTAAATCGTCTGCCCTACTATTCTGTAAGGAATCTGTAAGAATTGCAGTACAAAACCAGATGCAACTAAAAATAGAATCTGAAATCATTCCTTTTAATAGCAATGGAAAAAGTTTGGGACTAGTTGTTGATAATAAGTTAAGATTTAAAGACCATATCATATCTAAACTGAAACTATCATATTGTGCACTAAAAGCAATTTATCCCCAAAGACAATTTTTGGATGTTAACATAAAAAAAAAATTATGGGACTCACTTATACTATCGCTGTTTGATCATTGTGATACAGTGTATGGTTCATGTCTAGACGCTGCTGACAAAGCCCGTATTCAAAAAATACAAAATTCTTGCATTATATTAATTTACGGCATTAGACGTAGGCATAGAGTAACGTATAAACTTAAAAATTTTAAATGGCTTAATATGCATAATCGCCGAAAAATGCATTTTGCTTCTTTTATATTTAAAATTATAAAGTTCAAAACTCCAGCATATTTACATAAAAAGATTAAATACCGTACTGATGTCCACAATGTAAATATACGACGAAAGCAAATGCTTACCATACCTTCTCATCGTAAAGAAATATTTAAACGAGCATTTTCATACAACGTGGCAAAATCTGCAAATAATCTAATGGAAAATAATCTTTTTAATATCACACTTTCTCCAAATAGCTTCAAAATGAACTACAAAAATCACCTACTTACTTTATGATGCTAACTCTTATTGTTGTATTGTCCTTATCAACTTTTTCTTTATTATTTAGGTTATCACAGATACATTTATTGTTATTTTGTTCTTATATTATCTGTTTTTACCTTAATTTTAACGTGTTTAGTATTAGTATATTTTTTATATGTCTCTTAAATAAGATTTTTTTTTTCATTTATTGTTAATTCAATGTTTGTTATTAGTTAAAAATAATCGGGCTTTAGCGGAAGAACAGACATTTTAGTTCAAAAGACTTAAATGCACTGAGCTAAATGCCATTTACTCAATGTTTCGTGTATAATTTATTTGTTATGTTTATATAATACTATTGAGTAATAAACGTATTTATTATTATTATTATTATTATTATTATTATTATTATATTTACTTCTGGATCCTGAGTGTCTTAACGCACAATTTATCACAATCACAATTTATTGGTTTTGAATCTAATTATCTCAAAACATTTCTGGAAATTCACTCTCTTCTAATGAATCTTTGGCTGGCGACGTGTTTGTGGGTGGCAGTTGTAACACAGTACAGTGTTACCCACGCTGACATTACCATGAGTATATATAAATTCAAATATAAGTAAATAAATATATAAAAACAAATAAATTAGAAAATAATATCACTGGGAAAAAATAATGGAGTAAACTTAGAGATTGTTTATTGTGTATTCTTTTTCATACAAAATTATTCAAAATTCTTTTCATATACCTACTTCCTTTTAAAATGTATCGACAAAATTTTAGGGTCTCTTATTGCCTTTAAAAAAAAATCGAACAAAGTCGAATTCATTCTCAAATACATTTATTGGAATCTTTAATTGAGATAATTTTGAATACTAATTTCTCGAAATAATAATTTTTCAGAAAATTTATGTTTCTTACATAATTTTTTCGAAATAAAATTATGCGATATTCAAAATTTCGAAAAGTTAAATGTTTGAAAAAAATATTTTTAAAAAGATTTGTCTAATTGGCAAGTATCGAATTTTTACAGCACCTGATCCGCAAAATTTTACTATTTGTAAATGATAGATTATTTAAAATTATCAATGTGAACTACCTGCATAATCTGTATAGTATACCTGCTCTTTTTTATTCAATAGTAGCATTGTGAAAGAACCACTTTAATGGGATGGTATGTATACACCAAATAGACCAGTCATTTGAGTATACCATCAAGCACACAAACACACACCCAGAACCATCATCTTGTACAAAATTATATCTTGTGTTACCTATGATTTTCTTATTCATACATGTGTCATAGAGAATACAACTAAGAAAAAATTCTGCCCGATAATTGTGGAATATAAATTGTATTTTGATGGATATGTACTTCCATAAGAAATGCAGGAGAAGGACACTAACAAAAAAATTAACATCAAGTTAGTAATGGTGAACACAATGACACCAGGAGGCCAGAAAAGAGACAAAACTTAAAAATATAAACACATTACATATTCAAAAGCAACAGATATATCTTCTGATATTGTTAGAGCTCATTTATCGTCTATAAACAGTTTAAAATAAATCATTCAACATACAGGAAGAAAGGACAACCCACATCCATCTCTGTACCAATCTTGGAAAAATTTTAAGTGACTTATATGGAACTAGCTTTTTATTATTTGATTTAGGACTAAAGAAGAACAAGCTACTGATATATTCAACGCCCTGTTAACAAGATATTTTTTTTCCTGCATCTCAATATTGATACATGGATGTAACTTTTAGATGTGTTCCTTTACATTATTGTATCAGTTACATAAAATCCTTCGAGGATTCCGACAAGGAGGTAACCACCAATGTACGAGAAAATAAAACAGTTAAAAGGGCAGTGGAATTAGTTAACAAGACAATAGTGATACCTACCAAGAAAACTGTCCCGAAAAAGAGAGATACAAATGAGAAACACAGTCTGGTGGAATAAACATCTATGCTGGCTTGCAATCAACATCTCAGAAAACTTGCACACAAAGCTACAATAGCTCTCGTAAGCTGTAGAAGATTATGCAGAAAAATGTCAAACAAGTGGTAACCAGCTACATCATTCACAGGCTAATGCAGGGACAAAACCCAATAAGCCAACTACATAGCGTTGACCATACAATCTCAATATTGATACATGGACGAAACTTTCAGATGTGTTCCTACATTATTTCATCAGTTATATTCCATTCACGGAACAGTGGAAACCTGCTTCATTCCAATAATCTTTGTAATGTTGCCGAACAAATGAACTAAACAAAAATTTATAGAAAAAACTCGTGATATTTAGAGTGCCTGTGCATCTTCGCTCTGTTCCCACGCACATGTATGTAAAATCGTCGACTGTGATGGACCCGGAAAATACTATTTTGGCTGTTGGCGTCTTTTTTATTATACAAATCATTACCAACAGTACGAAGAAAAAAAAAAAGAAAATGTGAACAAGGCGTTTGTTCTTACAGCGTCAAAATGTAACATTACTGAGGGATATGAACAGTATTAATTTGAAAAATTTCACGCGAACGTCGGCAGAACTAATGTTTGGTGGGCCCTACAATTGGTAGAAGAGTTATAGACATTTTTCCCTATTTCAACCCATTCTATTGTCTATAAGTAATCAAAAATTAAATCAAATTCCTCCCAAAAATTTTGAATCATTTTCGATAAATTATAATTTACTTGAATAGTTTTACTTTTCGAAAATTTAGTGATTTGTTAATTTTTATTTCGAACAATTAATTTTGAGAAATATAACTTTTCGAAAATGTAGAGATTCGAAAAATTAGTACCTATTCAAAAATATTACTTTTTGAAAAGAAAAATGTAATCCACAAATTATTTTTCGAATAAATTTCTTTATTCTCAAATGTAGGCAAAATACAGGGTAATAGCGTAATTTATTGTTTTTTTTTTTAGATTAAAATTTGTCGTTGAACCTTCTGGTGTATTTATATCCTCAGATATGTTTTACCTGGAGATAGTATTAAATCCTGCAGGTATAGTAGAAGACGTAAAGATACATCATGAAGGTAAAAAAGAGCAACAAAGTTGCACCGAACTTGTCAATTGCCTTTCGAAAGGAGATTTCTCCGATTTTACAGCCCAATTGGAAGGCTTCACGTCCATATACCAACTGAACGCTGAAAAAAAGATTAAATGTAAAGCGTTTACAGCTCTAGAATCTTTGGAAGCGGATCTCATCACTTTGGCTCAACTACAAATGTTTATGAAAGAACCCTTTAATCTTATACACAAATCTCCTGTGGGTATTTTGGAAAAAAGGAAAGGGGGCCATCCAATGAAATTAACGTATTTTGTATCTCCGTACGATCTGTTAAATGTGGAGAAAAACGAAATTGAACCAATTAATATAGACACCATTGCTAGTAAGAGTTTAGGATATAGTGTTACTGTATGTATGGAAGGTTCTGCAGCTCATAAACTGCAGACGACTACTTTGATCACTGTAAATAGGGGGCTTAATGGAAAAAGGTGAGTACCTAAATTATTTTACAGGGATAATTAAGAAAAATTGCTTATTTGTAGCACACCTTCATACACGCCATTAAACAATCAAAATAGTGCTGTAATTCCAGCTTGTTTCTTGTTAAAACTGAACAAACCGCTGCCACTTTGTCTGTCGTTGGTTAGACAAATTCAACAGATATATCCATGGACGGAAATAGATAGTGCACCCGTACAACCATTGTTGAACCTTATTGTCACTCATTGCAGTGATGAAAAAATGAGTTCTAGTAATAATAAAGGATTGTTTGTTGTAAGTAACGGTTTACATTTTCAGTTTAAATAATACAAAAAGGTCTTTAATTGTATATTTTACATAAAAAGAATTAAGGTGGGGTTCTGTATATCAGGCATTTTTGAAGTAACTTAAGGGTCTCACAGTGTCTTTTTTATTCCTCAATGATTTTTATACTGTTAATTAATTTTCTTGGTTGTTCAAACTAAGCTTTATCAACATATTTTACAAAGACCACTATCTTGAAAATGATCCTGTGCAACATCTTTCAAATATTTGAGACATGGGGATATTTGATGTACAATTAAATTGTATCAAGCATGTTCACAACATTTCCGTAAACGTTTTTTTAATACACGAAAAATGGAAAAAATAAGGGTGTTTTCACACTATTGTAATTCATGATTTGTTAGGTGACCATAAAATAATTAAAAACCACTTTTCATTCATTCTATGTTCCACGATAATGTATACGAATATTAAATAGTTTTAAATATAGAAGTCGTAGTCAGCGCCTGTCCTGATTTGCATCATATCAAAATAGTAGTTTGTGCAACAAGAGTGGATATGATGGCCATAATCGCACAGACGAAATTTGAGCACGAGGTCGTGGCGGAGTGTGCTCAATCATCTGAGTGCGATACAGACAATCCACTCGAGTTGTACAGTGTATTTTTTCTACGATCTGCTCTATCAAAAATTAAAAAAATATTTTAGGTTATTAAGATAAAATAACTAATTTAAAAATAATGTATGACTTACTAATTTATATTATAAAATAAATTTGTAAAAAAAAAAATATTTAATTTAATTAGTCTCCAATGCTAGAATTTAACTCGGGCACTCTGCATGAAAGCCAAGTGCCCTAGTATCTGCTCCATCGCCAGACAACATATTGGTTTTAATACTCGTAATAGACGAAATAAAAATAGAAATGCTATTATTTATCGATTATACACGAGAATGACTCATTTTAATGTATATTTAATCTCAATAACTAAAAAATTTGTACATACCTTTTTATCATTAAGGAGCATTTTTTAATTTTCTATCAGTGACGTCTGTACGAGGTTTGAACTATATATTTTTGAAGAAAAAATGGCATAGGCTTACTTTCATACAACGCCACCGTTTTCGCGAAAAAAAAAAAAATAAAAAGCCAAAAAAATTTTTTTCTTAATTTTATTGAAACTGCTTTTGATAATTTGTTTAAATTTGGTAGGCCCCCACCATGCGTGGAAACGTTTTTTGGAACAAAAATATTTGGACTGAAGAAAATTATATTAAAAAATGTATTTTTTTCTTAAAACTGTATAAAAAAATATTTTTAGACACTTCCGGACCAAAACCATTGTTATTTCATGACCGAAAATAAGAATATGGATGGAGTATTAGTAACGAGTATACCTTTTACTCACCCTGCTCATGTCGCTAGTATTCTTATGATCCTTAGAGAGCAAGCCTTGTTTAATACGATTATTGCAAGTTGTGTTAGACCAAACAGCAAGCAAGGTACGTACATATAAAGTAGATTTAGAAATACAAGCCCTGTCTCAGTAGAGTGTGTCCCTCCTAATAAAACGTGATAAATACAAATTTTGTAATTAGAGTTACCACGGAGTAGCGTCTTCTTTTTGACTTATTATCTTTCCAAGCACGTCCAAATATTGTAATAATCATTTAAAGTATAAATGCATCCCAAATACCTTGCATGTGAGAACGTAACTCCTGCAAAGTTCTAGGTTGTGTTTGCTGTCTTAATGATTTTTTGAATTTATAATTAGCAGCAGCCTTTTGTTGAAAGACACAACTCTTCTTTTAGCGATTTTTTTATCAGAATGCCAACTTCGTTGAGATGGGGCTCATATAAGTTAAAAACTGTGTTTTAATTCGTTCTGTTAAAATTGTATTATAGATTTCGAAAACATGACCATATTTGAAGTAAGTGCTCTCTCTTCAACTCACATCTCCATATCGTTAGAACACCCTGTAGAGGAAAGTATGGCAACAGCCGAAATCGACTTATCAGATATATCTAATTTAATTTGTCGCATTCACAATCCCGGAACCCCTCCTCCGGTTAACACCTCCGACGTAGCCACGGAACTTAGTTCGAAAATACTAAACAAATCATTTTCGATACCCGTTACTCTGCGTTCCGTTATTAAATTGTGGGAGAATCAATCGATGAGGAGAAATCATTATGGAGGGCATGAAAATTTTAACTTGCCCCTCGGATCCGGCGACCCTGGGGGATCTAAAGATTCCACGACAACTAACTTGGTGGAATTCGGGGGATTGAATGACAAAATTAAACAAGAACCGTCCGGGAATTCGAATCATAATATGATGATGCAAGCCAGTCAGGACATTTTTTTAAATCAATCCATGATGGCGACAAATTTTCAAAACTTCCCACCTTCCGATGGGGTACTGACGACTTTGGAACTCACTAACATACTATCTGGTAAGTGTTCAAATGTCTTACTCATTCCGTAAACTCACTGTTTTCGAATAATGTTAATTTAGTACTATTTGTTTTCTAGATAATATGGATAAGAGTTCAAAGCGCCAAAAGCGTAGGCACGAAGACAGCAGCAAAAGTGGCAAACGGAAGGTGGGAACAGAAGACTCGGATCTAATTGAGTCATCCAGTTGTGACTCGACATCAAGAAGTACTCCATTGTCACAAGAAACAGAAATCAGAACTCCAAACTCGTTATTGGGGTTTCAAACGGATCTTGAACTCTCGGTATCTGGCATAGATCCAATAGAACTCTTGGGATCCAATGATAAAGCAGAAGAGGAGTTCGATCATTTAGAGAGCATGGAAATGGACGTGATATCTCCAAAAGATTTCAAGAAAGAAATAAAAGATAAATCGCCGAATAGGAGCGAGCCAGAGGAAAAACTGACGAGTTTAAGTATCACACCGGTTCCTGTGTCGAGCAGTTCAAGCAGTTCTAAAGATAAGCGTTCATCTGAAACGCCGCCAATTTTAAATTCTCTAACCATCACTCCTATTCCCAATCAACACAGAAGCTTAGAAGAGAAGTCGAGAGACAGGAAGAGTAAATCTTCTAAAGACGAAAAAAGCAAACTAGATAAGAAACGGAAAAGAAAACGAGATGAAAGCCCGATGGGACCGCCAGAAAAAGTTCCTCACAAGCAGGATTTTCTTCCGAAGCCTAATGTTAGCTCTTTAAAATCAACGGAATCGCCGCCATTGACCTCTTCTACTCCATCTTCTCCTAGTACTGTAAGAAAATTTAGCCATTCTCCCACTCAAAATCGACCTGCGTCTCTTAGCGGAAAACTCAGTCCGAACATGATGAAATCCGGTCTCAAATCCAGTTCTTCTCATCACAGTCCGAAGAACTCTCCTGCACACATCTCTAGCAGCCCCAAGCAAGGTATAATTTATTTAAAGTATATACGGGGGTTTGTATAAACAAAACCGTTTCTTATTTTTAGGGATATCTGAACTTTCTAGTCCCAAACATCACGGTACTTCCCCCAAACACCCTTCGGCCAGCTCGGGGAAACCCAGTATGTCAACTTTAAAAAACGCCGCCAATTCGCCGTCCAGCAAGAGCGGCGGCGACAGCAAGAGCAAATCCAGTCTAAAAGAGAGTTCCAGAGATAAGGAAAAGAAGGTATCCAGTAGTTTGAATGTGACTAGTACGAAAAATAAGAGTTCGTCGTCTAACAAAGTGAAATCGCTGGATTTAAGCGGCGGCGATGCGACTTCAGACGGTTTGCCGTCGCCCAGCGGTGCCGGCGACGTGAAGACGAACTCGTCTCAATTGAGAACCAATCGAAAAGGTTCTCTGTCCGCGATCGTCGATAAGCTGAAAGTAAACGCTCAACATTGTGATATTCCGTCAAGTGGTAACAAAGATAGGACTAGCAGCAGCAGTGTCAGTAAGTTGAACGAATCGAGCAAAACTGGCACTAAGCTGGGAGACGCGAAAAATTCCGAGTACATGGTGAAGCCTAGTTCAGACGGGATGAAAATTACTATCAACAAAACTAGAACTAAAGATAATTCTTCTTCGAGTAAGCCATCCTCGTCATCAAGTTCTACAGTGACCAACAAAGGTTAGTTCATGATCAAATCATTTTAGTAGTGTTCCCAGATTTAAAACTGCCCGTCTGGAAAAGGTATGTTACTTTCCTGAGCTATCAATTGCAGTGATCTACTCTGTAAAGTAAAAAACTGTTTCACAAAAAACGAAACTTATTTTAAATGAAACAGAAACTAAAGTTTAACTATTTTTCCAATAATCTATTAGGTAATGAAAAGCCACATAGCATACAGTCAGATAATGATTCCTATGTTGGTCAAAACACATATTATAGAGTCTTCAACAATACCCGTATTTCACGTGAATAAATTAATGTCATCAATTGACTAAAAGTAACATAAATAACTTCAGTAGTAACTCTAAAACAATGTCACTGACATATTTGACAGAACTGATACGAAAGTTGTCATAAAAGTCTCTAAGAATGGCTGTTTTCATTAAATTTATTGTTATTCCAGATCACATGGGATACGGATGTTGTTAAACGCTCGTTAAAAGAGACAGCTTCTAAATTGAGTTAAAATGGACTAAGAGTAACTAGTAAATATTTAAAAAAGAATCAGCGATGTCTCTCTACTTTGCTAGTTTTGAATCTGTTAGTATATATTAGACATGGGACTTTTCGTAAAAAGTATTTACCGGAAAAGTAATGAAAAGTAGTCGACCTTGAGCATAGAAGATACACAGTTAAATCTCCATCCATCCTGGATGAACAATATTTGTATTTTCGTTTTTTTTGCAAATCATTTGTAAAATACTTCCAACCTTTGGATTTTTTGGTAATTTTTTTCACGAGTTTATTTTAATAAGATATGAAACGAAAATTCGAAATCATCGTTAAAACATTATAAAAGTCAGTAAACATTTGTCGTTTCTTTTTTTTTAAATATATTTTGCCTTTGTTAGGAATTCAGACGGATTAGTTAATTTAATTTCGCGCACGTGCAATACACTTTTTCACTTTTGAAAAGTGTGTTTAGACTAGTCAACTAGTCCGTCGGACTTGTCTGTGGACTTTTCCAAGCAACCCATCACTGGTATGTATGGAATCATTTTTTGGGGCTTTTGATTCTGTGAGGAGGAGGACGAAACCTCCATTCACATCCTAACTGAATGTGTAGCACTCCAGAATCCAAGGGCACTATATCTAGGAGGATATCAAATAGAAGAGCGAGATTTACCTAACTTGAAGCCACTTCAAATCCTACACTTCCTTGAGAAAATAGGATTGGAAGGGTCGCTATAGGCATTGAGACATTTCCTTAGTGCAGTGGCGACAGAAGGGGGCACAATAGATCTTTTAGGTCGCAGTGTATTAACACCCCATTCTCAACATATATGGCAATAAACTTTTTTAACAAACTTCCCAACTATTAAAAATTATATAACTATTAACAAGTTCAAAAAGAACTTAAATAATTATTACTGGTTTGTCATTTGATTTTTTAAATAATCAGTTTTAATTCTGTCTGTAATTTATGGGAAAGTTTTTGTCTATGACTTCTGTATATATATATATATATATATATATATATATATATATATATATATATATATATTTTCTATTAATAAATATTACAAATGATGAACTTATACCATTTATTTCAGTTAGTGGAACAAATTCTCCCAAAACTCACACCGGTTTGAAACCGGGAGTCAACAGCGGTCCCGCGTCAAAGAAACCCCAACAAATTCAAAAATCCACCAATTCCGTTCTACCAAACTCAACCACTTCCAGCAGTAACAGCGGCGGCGGCAGCAGTAGTACAAAAAGTTTCGCTCCAAGCAACAAATCGGCCTCATCCAGTTATTCTAAAGTTTCTAGTTCGTCGAACAGTAGCAGTAGTAGTACAAATTTATCTAAATCAAGTTCTAAAGTAACCGGTTCGCCTAAAATGAACTCGTCTAGTACGGATTCAAATCGGTCTAAGGATAAAACGAAATCCAATAAAACTAATCCAGAAAAGTCGCTCTTGTCCGCGTTGAAGGAAAGCAGAAAATCGAGTCCGACGCAAAGCAGGGAGGAAGTCGATAACGTGTATAAAATGACCCAGTCCAGCCTCATGGACGGACGGATCAAAACTTTAGATAAAAACTTCCAAATACCGAAACTCTCTGCAAGAATTTCAGATGATAAAAAAGTGATAAGGAACGATAGTTCGAACATGAATAGAAATAAAGTCGAATCGAAACTATACAATATGATGAAGAACGATTCTAGTAAATATCCAGTGAATAATCAAATGTTCGATAATTCAATGGAGACGAAAATTAGGAATAATATGAATAATCTTCCTATCGGAGTTGGTGCTAATGATGATGAAAGTAGCAAAAAAGATGTTCATCAGAACCTATCGAGCATGCAAGGCAAGTTAACTTTTTTATTCAGATTTTTCTCAATAAGTATTTCATTTTTACACAAACAAAAATTTATTTATTCACAATAGCAGTACACTACAGCGATAGACTCCAAATGGTACAATGGTAGGTATAGAACATTTAAAATATTTAAAAAGCAAATAGTCTATAGACACACAGAAACATCATTTTCTATATTTTAATATTGGTTCCACTCTTATTTCTGCTCTTAATAATTAATTTAATGTCTTCGTGTAGCTCTCAGATACCTTATTTCAACCATGGTATATGCCATGCAGCAAAGTATTTGAATTGGCTTTGATAAAAGTAGCAATTTCACTAATTTGTTAAACTAAATATAATTAAACAACTATAAAAGTAATAACTAATATAAAACTAAGAAATAAAATAATATCACCCAAAATCCAATTTCACATGAGCACAAAATAGATAAACAACACAGAAAAAAAAGAGAGAGCTACAGCCAAAACCCTAGCCACTGTAGCCACGTCTTATTGATGGTTGAGCATTATCAAAGTAATTTCAGTATTTTTGAACCCAAGGTGAAAACAATTTTAATTAAAAATTTAAGAAATTCTGCACACTGTAATTCGAATCCGCCTATTCGCGTGCTACGCACACTGCTCTTACCATCTGAGCTGTCACGGACATAGTCAATGACTTCCAAATTGTTAAGATGAATATAAGATTTCGAATCCAACCTTGTTTTACAGAACATTTTCAATTCCTAAATAAACTACTAAACAGCATTGTCTGGGGAAATATGCCTTAGCATGCATACCCTTCCCCAGGTTGTCTGTGATGTATTAAGCGTTCAATAATTCGATAACACAAACAACAAAGTTAATGATGCAATCAGTTTTAAAGTCCTGGAAACTTGTCGGTTAGATAGTAGTTTAAACTTTTAAACCTATTGTCTCACTAATAGTAGAATATATTTATACAGGGTAGCGAACAAGTCTGACAACAAGGTGTTTTAGGGTGACGAACGGGATTGTATTACATATAGTTATTTATACAGAATTTTCGAAGGCCTTTGATCGCATAGATCATGGAGTTTTGTTTAATTAAACTGTTAAAAATTGACTTTAATAGTAATACAGTATTATTTTTAGAATAATACCTCTCTAATCGGCAACAGTATGTTTGTTATAATGGTTTCATGTCTGATAATTATTGTGCTACGTCAGGGGTGTCACAAGGGTCAAACCTAGGACCACTACTATTCTTATTGTTTATAAACTTTTTATGTGAGAGTAAAATGTAGAAAACTTTGTTTCGCTGACGATTTAAAATTGTTTACTTCAATCAGTAATTTAAGTGATTGTAATATATTACAAGATCCACTTACATTAGTACAACAATAGTACGATGATAACAAACATAACTTAAATGCAAGTAAATGTAAAATAAGTAAGTACGCTACACGCTAAAATTGTCAACTATTCATTTTTCTTTTTTTGTTCGAGTCCGACTTAGACAGATGTGACAATATAGAAGATTTAGGTGTAGTCTATGATTCAATGTTAACTTTTAAAAATCATATTTCTACTAAAGTCTCTGAAGCAATGAAAATGTATGTTTTTATTTTTAGAAATTGTAGAAATTTCACAAATTTAGAAGCATTAAAAATTCTATATTTCTCATACGTGCGTTCTAAAATAGAGTATGTTTCTATTATTTGGTTTCCAATTATGAAGTACAAAAATATTTAATTGAAAATGTTCTACGTAAATTCTTAAAGTGGTTATCTTTTAAAATCGATAGTGTTTATCCAAAACGGAGATTGAAAAAAATATATTGTATAACAATCTACAATTTTCTAGCTTACTTTTGAGAAAAAAATGAGCATCTATTGTTTTTTTTTTTTTCATAAATTATTGGACAATAGAATAAACAGCATAGAATTGCTGGACTAAATCAACTTTGATATACCTTCTTTTAATACTAGATCTTAGATATCGTTCAAACTCAGAAGAGCTAGAACTATAATATATTGTTTATAGCGCCTATATATGTAATGTGCAACAATTTTAATAAAATTTACAGCTACTATGACATTCATTTTTCTTCTATTGCTGAATTTGTGAGAATAGCGGAAATTTATTTAGATTCGGTTTATAATTTTAGGTAGGTGGTAGATATTTATTTTTTATGTAAACGTTTCTCTTAACTGACATCACATAAATTTGACATATCCTCTAAAAAATGCAGAATACAACCCCATTAATCACCCTACAATTTCATAATAATTATACATTCATTCGTTTCAAAGAAAATATTGTAGCTAGACTTTTTCGCTACCCTATGTAAAACACTGTTTTAAATGATGGAGCTTATCTGTAATTCTAATCAGAAAAACGTATTAAAGTTGGTATCATTGACACTATGTAGTACTCGTCTATTTTTTCTCTTTAAATGGTTATTAAAAATATAAACCCTTCCACTGTGGGAACCAAATATTTTTGAAAATGAATAGAGTGCCGCCATTGCGGGAAATTATTTTATTCGAACTCCTTGTTTGAGGGTTTGCTGCGAGACTCAATTATTTTTTACATAATTTATAAATTAATCGTTTGCCGCAGCAAACCGGTAAACAACAAAATTTGAATGGCGCCTCTATTCATTTTCAAAAAAGCCGTTTCCCGCAGTGGAAGGAGAGTTCATTAAAATGCCTAAACTACCTATTTAGGATACAGCAAATAGTTTTACTTTACAAAATTAGAATTATGTAGAAAAAGAATAACCAGTTGACAAATAAAACATTCAACTTTTATGTATTTATAACCCTACAAATTAAAAAATGTACATTTTAGGCAAAGACGATTCCAACAAAATTGACTCCATATCGTCGTCGAAGCTATACGGCTCGCCGATGTTAGAGCCTCTCAGCTTTTCAACGAAATCCGTGGATTTCCCCGCGTCGAAATTCATCGCGCCTGCGCCTAGAGACGAACGCAAGGACTCTCGCAAGAACGACGAAGTATTGGATTTCAGTTCGAAGTCGCAGGCTCTACCTCAGTCGCCCTCCGTCAGTGTTCACATAGTTAAATCGCCAGCGCCGAGTCCAATGATCAATCCCAGTCCGCATTCCGCATCGCCCGGTATTACAGACGACGAACTTATGGACGAGGCGTTGGTGGGGATGGGGAAATAGTCGTTTAAGAAAAATTATTTATTTGGAAAATTATTTTTTAATCATAAAAGTTGTATGTTTGGTCTGGACGAGATGTATGTGAGGTGATATTCATAAATTGGTGTTGTTAATGCGGGCTAAGAGATGTTGTTTTGCCACTAGAGTGCGACACTAAAAGACTAGAGGTCACCATTCGAACGAAAGTGCAGATAATATGTAGAGTTGCAACTCATTTTGAAAAGTCATATTAAATCAAAAATCGACGTGTTCATGAAGAAAAATACAATACATCTGAAAATCTAATTCATGATTAATGGTAGACAGGTAGAGTAAACGTGTTACTTCAAAGATACCTTTACACATTTCCTACTTGATAAAAAATTTGAGGAGCTGTCTTATATCATCCAGTTTGTAGAGTCCCAAATACCTGATTTTGTCAGTGGGGTTTAGTTCGAGATAATAGGGCAATCTTAATAATGGATGGACTTTTGAAGTCATTGTTTCATAAATTGAGATTTATATGCTTTAATAATTATATAAAATTGTGCCTTAGTCATAGTAGATTCATATTTTTGTTTTTAATCTAATAGATCTATCCCTTTTTTGATGATATCTATTACCATGCACAAATCCTACTATTAAAATCAACAAACTTTGTTGTCTACTATCCTGAGTGTCAATTAAACATCCGCAAATATTATTGGTTTTTGTGTTTGATAGTAATTGTTTGTGTTTCTAATTTAATTTGTTTTTTTATGGAAATGTGTCAAAAAATAGACATGCCAAGATTCGGTGACAGTTGTTTAAAGCAACTATGGCAGTGGGTAATAGTAGCCAATCGAACAGTTGTAGTTAGGGTGAAGATAAGAGAGGGACCCTTTCTCTATATGCATGAACTATAACTACTATAAATTTAAATTTTGAATGAATTTGCAATCTGTTTCATGAGTTTACGTAATATTCATGTCTTCTTCATAAAATATTTTCATTTTTTTTTTTGTAAGAATTCTATGAAAAGTTAATTCCTGCAACTACCGCTGATGTTTCCTTTGTATTTCATTAAGTTTCGATTTCCGAAAATAACTAACAACCAACTCGAAAACAAAATAATATACATGACAATAACCTCACTAAAAACCCTAAGCAACAAAATACTGTTATATAAACAAATCCTCAGACCTCTACTAACATACCGATGCCCAGTCTATTGTTCAATGGCTCAAACACACTATGATAAACTTCAAAGAACCCAACACGGGTGTCTGAGGATGATCCTGGGGCACTTCAGATCAGCAGAAAATGCCTACAAATACAGTCAGACTTGAGGCATTGATGGGCAAACAAACATGCCTCTTATAAAGGGTTACATCCTGGAACTATCTGAGAAGTTTTACAAGCATTGTCTCCCTGAGCCTCTAAGGGAGACATTTTTAACATCAGACTGATTGTCTGCACAAAAATCTTTCAGTCTACAGATGACAAATCTCAGCAACACACCCCATGATAGTAGAGTTTACTGAAATTTGAAATGCCAGTTTACGACGAGTAGTGGTGGATTTGAAAGGGTCAATGATGTATAGATTGATCATCCATAAAATAAACATAAGCTCATGCATTGAAGTAAAAATGTAAATAATTATTTTTTTACTATATTGAAAGACTGAAAATTGTTTTCATAACACATTAATGAGGACTTGCGAGGCAATATGGCCGCGCGAAAAGCGACCCGCCTTGAGCCATCTATATATATCATTGACACTTTCAAAGCCAATAGGCCCACAGGGTTGCCATGACAGGTCATTGGAATGCCTAATTATCGGACGGGAGCCTACACGATAACGTCACTTGCCGATGCAGAGATCGAGGCCTCATAAGGATCCCAGGTTTTCAGGGAGGACAATGATAATTAAAATCAGACAAAACTATAAACAAAGTTCCATTGCCGACTAATTATAATAATTGCATAAAGTCGCGAGATTAGGAGGTAAAGAATTAACAAATAAAGTTAAATTGGCAGAGGATAATATAACGGCTAATACATCAGCCACGGCCTTTTCATTAGAGGTCGACATAGATGAGGAGCAGAACGGTGACGACGCTGTGCTTAAATTTGTAAATGAAGGTTATTTTATGTCAATGAAATGTAAATTAGTGTGGAAAATAAAGATTTTTTTAAAACAGAAATACAACGGAGATCGAGGCCTGTCACGATCTAGACCTGTGAACTGTCAACAAATTCACACAAACCAAATAATGGAACCAGCACATTTAATGCCGATTTATAAACTTGCAATTTCCCTCGTCATTACCGTTTACGTTCCCGTTTCTGTTTAACGTTGCAGTCGCCATTGATATTCTTAATTTATAAGGCTGACGTTGGGCGCCGTTGAAAATGAGAAGAATCTGACATTCACCCAGATTTTCATTGAGTGCCTTTTTTAAATTAAGTTTAGATACCTATTTTGTGTTCGATTACTTTACATAAAGTTAAGTAAAGACATTTCAGCGTTTTAAGGTATGTCCCATTAACCAAACAAGGAAATCATTAGGAAATTTCCAATATTATCCAGGCTTTTGATTGGTTAGTATGGGAACGACACGAACGGTGAACTGCACAACTTGAAACTTAGTCATGTTTCAACGTCAGGGAATTTCATGTGCAACAGCGGACAGTGATATTTAAGTGCGCAAATGTGAAAGTAGATTTTTAACTTTCAATGCGAACTGCAAGTTTATAAATCGGCCTTTAAGGACAACCCTGTTTGTTTGTTACTGATTTTCAGTGAAGACAAAGACAATTAGCATCCACATAACTCCTTACTGCCCCTGCATACCCTCTTAAAACGGCCAAATAATGCCTTTATGGCAAGGGGCTGGCACCACTTCAAACCTGGAAACAACTTGGGAATATATTCAGCATAGACAGCATAATCTAATGCATTGTTTTTTAATTTGATTTATATTGGAATCGAGTGAAGTGAAATGCAATTTATCTATTGCAGCACCTACTTGTGTTGGAATAAAAGATTAATGAATTAGAGAATTTATTACTAGTGGAATAAGAATTGAAGAATAAATAAACAAAAAAAAAGAGATAATGGTAAGAATAAGAAGTTGAAATCATAACAGTATATCCTTAAAGACTTTTTAATGAATGAATGTGCTAAACGTCCACCATTTAGTTATTTGGATTGCCTAATTATTCGTTCGGGGTTTTCCATCTCTCTAGCTACAAGTGTACCTTACAAGTAATGCATTCACTCTGTTATTTTCTGTCTTGTTTGCTTATACATTATAAACAGCTACTTGTTTTCTCTTTCACTGTCGATTAAAATAACTTAAAGCGGCAAATTCGATTCCAACGCTTTTTAAAAGCTTATTCAACAGACCTCACGTTATAGTATCGTTATCTTGCGCCCCCATTGACAGATGCATATTTATTCACAAACGTACAGTTTTATAAACAGTGATATTGATAGTGACCAAAGGTACAACTTAAATCTTCGCAAATAATAAAATGAATACAATCTTCCAAACAGTTAAATCAAAATTAAAAAATAAAACACAACAGCAACGTAAACCTATAATTTAGTTAAGCAAAGAATACTTAATTTCTGTATAAAATTTAGTTCGCTGCCAGAAATTACCATTTTAATCTGTCAAATATTTGTAAGTGTATCAGAAACACAATGTATGGAATAAATTTTATTTCCTATTATTTATATTCTTTTATGCTTTATTTGGTGTGTAAAGTTAAGTGTACAGACAAAAAATTGTATGTATTATATTTTTAATAAAATTGACTTAGACTGTGTTTCCGATATTACACATTTATAAACCATAATTACAATTTAATATATTTTTTCCTTGACCGAAATCGTTCGTTAATGACCCCTATTCATATGCATCATTTTTCTAATATCAACGAGAAATTAAGCTGTCTTACTCCTGGACATTTAAAATTATTGAAATCTTAAAGATGGGACAATTTAAAAATGTTTATTTTAACTGAACAACAATTTGTAACTTGTTATTATGTTGATTTGAATATTAAGAGAGTAAATTCGCAGAAGTGTTTTGCCATAATCCGCCTCAAATCCAGTTATTATTACAGAACACAGTATTTTGTTATTAATTTAATAATCTTGCTATTGAATTACTTTTTATCGCCAAGCATTTGTGGCAATTTACTCTCTCTTAATAGTCTAAGAACCGGTCATATAAAATCAAAGGAACAGATTATTATAAGCTGGATTGAATTTTTGTTATAGAATATTAATAATTGTTAAACACCACCAACATTAGTGTACCTTGGTTTTACCCACCCTTCAAAACAACACATTTCCTGTACAATTTTTAAGTTTGTTGAAGCAGTATTCTACCAAGATTAGTGACAGTTGAAAACACTCTGAATAACCTCACGTGCGCACAAGTATGACAAAGCCTCTTTTTTATTAAATTGAAGGGAAATCTATTTTTGTATTCCTTTAAAATCGATTAATCGGTCATCATAATAGGAGGTAACAACAGAAAGAGGTTGCGCCAGACTTGTGCTTACGTGGAGTTATTCAGCCGCTTGTTTTCATCTATAACAAATTCTCTTTCACTTAGTTTATATTTCATTATTATAAATATAAAATACCACTTTAAAAATCTTAAAATTCTACCGTAAATATATTTTTATTTGAAGGATGTCTCAAACCATGGCACACCAATGTTGGTCTGATGTTTTAACATAATAACTCATACTTTTCTTTTAATTCGGCCCATGATAATCGGCTCTGTCCATAATGTACAAATTAACATGCATGTGGTTTATGATGCCGATGGACTCCAGTCCTGTTAAAATGAACTCTAAACATTAAGTGATGTTTTGGCAATTGACAGTAAAACAACAATTTATAGTTTAAATTAGGAATTAAACTCAAAATCGATACCACAAAATATTTATTCAAATTAAATATCATGACTAGTTTCTGCCTATATGGCCATCTTCAGGTCTACAATACAAAATAACAAATGGGTAGTAACTATGTAACATTAAAAAAGGTTATTTACAGAAAAAAATTCAAACAATGTAAATATTATTATCCAAATCCATATGGTAGTACAAGGTTAGATGAATGTGGTTATTTTTATTTTAAAAATTATAAAAGTTTAAAATAAAAACTTTGGATGTGGGAATTTTTTCAGTAATTTTTAAAAAGTAAATAACAAATTTGTGTTCTTAATAAACATGATAGCGAGATGCATCAAATGTCATGACATTTAATTTAAATAAATATTTTGTGGCATTGATTTTAAGCTTCATTACTAATTCACTATTGACCAGAAAATGGATATTCAATTTACAATTTTCCTCACGCATATGCAAATTTGGGTCTTGAAATTTCTGGTAGTGAACCAACATATACATCGCTATAATCAAACGTACAAATATCATTAGTTTTAGTTTACAATTGTCTTAGTTTTTCGAAATTTTGTACAGATTCCGTTGTTAAGAAATATTCAGAGTAATATTTTATTATGATATAATGTAAAAATTCAAAACAATTAGTCATATTTAAAACAACTGATTTTGTAAATTAAAATTTACTACTTCCGAATAATAAAAAGACACTTATTGGGATGATATTTAAAAATCCCATTTGAACTCAATTGCTTAAACAATCACTTGGAAGTTTTTTTTATTTTTTGGGCTCTAGGTAAAATGTGTTAAAGTTGGGCTGATAATGCAAATAATTTATTAAATTTAAGGTACATAATATAAACATAATTTACTATTTTTAAATAATGTAGATAATTACTGCCAATATAGAAGTAATATTTTATTATTAAATATTTGAAAATAAAACTGTATTTTATGTTACTGCCTTTCATTAATCTTATTTATTTACTATTTATTCAACCAGGACAACTATGACTATTTCCATTTTAATTGTAGTATAGAATTTAAAATGTGTCTTGCTTCTCTTGGCATGCAGTCTTTTGTCAAATATATGCACTAACTAACTCCATTATTTTATTGCTACATAGCCAGACCTGCTAAAGACTCCAAAATATATCTCAGAATAAACAAAAAACGGAATGTACTAGAAAGATATACAAGGAAGCAAATTTGTCTATAAAAGCAGACAAATAAAATGGATATGTTACTAAAAATCATCTATGCTAAAAACTAACTAAACAGAAAAGGGGACATCAGATTGTAATGGAGTGATGAACCTAAGCTAAAAATAAAATTGCATGCTTCTTACTAATCAGAACCTTTATAAAAAAAAAACAAGAAACCATAAGGGAGGTCATTAATAAATGGAAAACATTTAATCAATATGTTAACAGGTTTTATAATATATTTGCAATAAAATGTACAGTAGTTAATAGAACACTAAAAAGCATCTTTCTTTGGATTCACATAAACTATTTCTTCTTTGGTCCTTTGGATTTCCTTTCTTGCTGCAACTGTTTCAATTTCATATTGAGCTTAGTTTGAGCTTGCGAGTGTTTTTCTTTAGATAGTTTGGGATTCTGATGTAAAAATTTTTCTCTTTCGTCTTTCCTTACAGCTTCTCCACATCCATGTATTTCTGGTAAACCGTGGCTAGTACAAAACCGACCTTTACAAAACTTACAATCTATGGCGAAGTCTTTAGTTTTATTTTTGCATTTATCGAATGTACATTTATAATCTATCTGTTTCACTTTTTCTAACATAGAATCTAAATCTGTTGAATTAGAATTTACTGCTTCTGAAATTTTCTCCTCCTTAATTTTTATATTTGGATTTGTTTTATTCATTTTAACCAGCCGATGGGTACCACAGATGGGTACTATTTCTTTTTGATTCAGAAATTAAAAAATTAATAAAATAGCAGTTACTTTTCTTCCTTTCGCCCTTTAATTTAATTGCCTTTATTAAGTATAACAAACAGTAACTGTTACTTCAACAAATGGCCCGTATCAGAGACAACTAATTTGACTCTGCCCGTATTTATAAACAAAACTCAGCTGAGTCGGACTTGGGTAAGTCGTCCTTGAACGAAAATCGAAGTTCGGTTATATCGCGTGAATTTAGAGATGGGTACGAACAAATCCGTAAATGTACATAACAGTTATATATTAGCTAATATCCATCTCTAAATTCTAGTCAAACACCAGAACCACCTAGAACTTTAGAGACGTTGTAATCGAACTTCGATTTTAGTTCAAGGACGACTTACCCAAGTCCATAGATTACTACGTGAGTCCACATACTTATAATAGGTATACGGAGCAAGAGAGACGTCCGACCTGTTTAACAAAGGGGCGGCCATTTTTATACAAGATTACTAGTACATAGGTGACCAAAAATACAGCAATTTGAAAACTTGGTTGCAGATGTCTAGGTCTTTTCACTTTTAAATACATCATTTTGTACAGATTTTTTAAAAGAAATAATACAATATTATATCTGAATTAAATTTTTATTCTACAACAAAAAAAAAATATTTTAATGTTTAAAAATACATGTTAGGCTGATAAATAATAGGCCGACAAATAATAGATTAAATACTAATTTTAAATGACAAAAGTACAGTAGAGGAAGTTACAAATATTAAAATTTCCAGGATACTTTAAAATTAAATTGATGGTTGCATATTTGTTTTATTTTAAACAATTTACTTTCTTCTTGTATAATTTCTAAAAGCTACAAATTTTTAGTGAACGGGTCGTCCTTATTGATTCTGCAGTGAATTGTACTAACTTAAAAGAAATTTTGTCCAATCACTACCTATATGGCAGATAACCACAATAAGGAACGATCTGCTTGTTTTGGAACCCTAAAATAATATAAAGGCACTTCTTTCATATCCTTTATTTTTGCTAAATCTTATTACTTACTTGTGGAATGTAACATTTGAATCTATTGGCAACAGTCTATTGGCCCAGTATAGAGAACTTATACTGGGATTAAAGTCTATTCACAAATGGTAAAATAAATAAAACGTTTATACACTTAGAAAATAATATCCACAATGAAAATATTCTAAAAGAACACAAAAAAATTTAACCAAATTCACAAACACATTAAAATTTGACACTTTTGACAGATGGAAAGATAAATTGGTTGCATAAGTTTCAGTTTGTTTATATAAAAATGGCGGTCATTTCTATCTTCTTTTATTAAACACTCAGTAAAGATGCGCAGAGGGTTTTACGCCGTATACCTATTTAAGTATGTGCGTGAGTCGGACTTGGGTAAGTCGTCCTTGAACTAAAATCGAAGTTCGATTACAACGTCTCTAAAGTTCTAGGTGGTTCTGGTGTTTGACTGGAATTTAGAGATGGATATTAGCTAATATATAACTGTTATGTACATTTACGGATTTGTTCCTACCCATCTCTAAATTCACGCGATATAACCGAACTTCGATTTTCGTTCAAGGACGACTTACCCAAGTCCGACTCAGCTGAGTTTTGTTTATAAATACGGGCCTAGTCTATTCAGCCACAGCTATCATTGATAGTCTCTGTTGATAAGGTCCGATTCCGATTACAATAAGAAGAACACCGACGCCGACACCGCTACTTCATAACCTTTATTTCTATTCTATATAATTTCACATAATTTGATAATTTCAAATGTAATGTTATCATTATCATGGAGTTGTAATAAATAAATAAAAAAAAAGTATATTGTCGAATATAAAAAAAATATTTCCTATATTCTTATAATATTAATACGGCACCAAACCACCAGTCTAATCCAATGTACATCTGGACAAAATTGATAGCATTTTTTTTTATTTGAATTGGAATAATGTTTACGATATCAATATTTAATAAGAAAATAAGGTTTGGAGAGTATTGAAGCATAAAAATAGATGCGTTGAAGACACATTTGAAATTTGAATACATTGAGAAGTAGACTGGTAGATAAAATATACATATTATTTATGAGTAGACTAGATGTCAGCGCAGCACACATGAGATATGTTGTGGAGGCCAGGGACAAACAAACTGAGGAACATTGAACTGAAGCAGATGTAAGAACAAATCCAATAGAAAAGGCAGTAATCGAAACCAAGAAGAAATTCTGGGTATCTGATATGGATATAACCACATCTAGTGACTGAAAAGAATTACATAAAGGCCTCGCGAGATATAAATGATATATGAATACTGACATTATTTAATATATATTTCACCTATGACCCAAACATTATGAAAAGCATTCACAAACATACTCTCAACATATGAATACGACCTTCAGTGCAGCAAATAGCTCCTTATGCAAATAATGCATAGTTAACAAATCGCACAGTATGCAAAGATTGCAAACTAAACAAAATTCACAGAATATATTAATACAAGTATTTACAAGAACATTTGCATATAATATGTGAAGTGGAGATTGTAAAATATAGAATGTAATGTGGCTTTCATTGAATTAACACAAAATAAACTTTATTAAAATTAATTAAAGATTGACTGGCCAGTTGGTTTTGAAACCAGTGCCAAACAGAAATACATACACACACACACATACATAAAAGGTTTAATTTTACAATTTGTTGCACACTATAGGTACTATTAATTATATTAAAATACATTGATTAGTTAAATAAATATGAAATAATGTTTTATCAATTTAATGGTTATTGCAAAATCTAAATAGAGTGACCAATATATATTAACATTTTGATCTATTGAACAGGTACCTGCAGCATTTTTCAAAGTCTGTCCAGCATTTAATCTTGTACAGCAAAACGCTGCTTTTATTTGATTATTCGTCCAAATTACATTATAAAAACAAATTAAGTTATAATATGTTCAAGGGTTGTAATTTAAATTAGTTTTTTGACTCTCCTGTAAAATTTTCCTAAATCGAGTTACGCACTTTGCGATTTACACTGACGAATGTGATACACATAAATATACTGGAAAGTAACAAATAAGACTTGAGGATTAAAAAAAAAGGTTCCTCTTCTACATGACTTCTCTCGTTTTGCAATGAGGAGCATTTGGGGTCAAATGAAATATGGTCACCCTATTGTAAAAGAGAATGTGAAACCCATCTTTTCGTACATAAAATATATGGATTATTGTGAAATTTACTGAATATAATATTAATAATAAAGTGCTTTATTGAAACTTAAAGTTACAAAAGGCCATTGACTGAGGTCCTTCAGCTGAAATTTACTGATTTGGGTGTAGAAATATTTTTCAGAAACGATGACTGCTTTAACCATAGATTAATGTACCCATACCTTTATAAGAAAGGCAGAATATGTCAGTTTTTTAATAATTTTCAGTGCTTATTCAATTTCAGAATTACCTACATGTTTAATGGTAGTACTGAGAAAAACTCTAAAGTTCGTGTCGTAGAAACATGTATTGAAGTACCAACTAAATTAAGTTACTCAAATAGACAATCTGATTTTGGTACCCTTTTACATTTACAAATGGTATCTGCCTAAAAATGTAATACTTGTTTCACTGTAAAGTAAATTTATTTATTGTATAACACTTATATGACAAAATAATTATTTATACCAAGAAAGGACTCAGCATAAATGGAACATCTAAACATTTTTTACCATGACCAAAATACACAAAGCCATGTTTGGGTGTTCTCAAATGATGATAAAAAACTAAACCAGGCCAATATAAGTTTTTCAAAATGACCACATCCTCAGATTGGTTAATCAACAACATCCAACACCCTTCTGGGATGTCAATATCGAGGGGGTCCAAAAAATCAGTAGCATAATTGTAATCATCTCTCGTCAACAAATTGGTATTCTGTTTTCTTGTCGGAACACGAAAATGTACATAAGAGGACCATTCTCTTGCATCAATACCTTTGAGTCCTTCAAACGCGATGTTATTTATTACTACACCATCTGGTCTGCGAAAAATACCTGCTCTAGGTATAATTCCAGCTTCGTCCATTATAAGGTAGACGGTAGCAGCTAGACGGTCTTCTTCTTTAAGTTTTCTTAGTTCGGGCTGTTTTCTTTTGCCTGGGACCAAAGTATCATCTTTTTCTATGAGGATATCAATTATAAGAGAAGGATCACCTAAAATAAAGTTAGTAAATGAACATTTATCACTGCATAGCAATTGTGTATTCTAACATATCAACAAGTAGGTAACTAACTCACCCTGAAATTTTGTGGAGCATAGGGGTGCCAATAAAAAGCCAATTTTCGTCGCCTTCGGCATTAAACCCCAATCAATGCAGTTCTGGCTATAATAGAATACTTTCCCATACAAAATATCTTTCTCATAACCGTATGCAACAAAATAGTCTTTTTCACAACCATAAATTTTTCCCCAGAAAAATACTTCTTTAAAATGGTTTTCATTTTGAAGAATTAGAAGCGAATTGTGGAGGATTATGGCTTCTTCGGTACTTACTACGTGTCCAAAATGTCCAGAACAGTCTAAACTTTGGAGTATATCATTCAGATTCATGTTCAAAAAAATGTATGTCATTTACTTGACAAATAAATGCTCTAGGATGTAGAGTAGTAAAGTAGAAATATTTTTTCTGCTAAGTTGATTTGATTAGGTCCTCCAAGATGGCCACATATCCATGCCAGTGTTTTTTTATTCACTAATGGAGGAAAACGCAAATTTCAGTGTTTGATTAGTTTAATAAAATAAAACATGTATAAAAAATATTCATTTATTGAAAATGTACAAATTTATTAACTTTTTAACATTTGAAAAGAATTTTCTTCATAAGTGGATTGGATAACGAGGAGAAAGAAAGTAAACTTGGTTCCTAAATTTATCAAAAATATTGGTAACACTTAAAATTAATCAATTAAACAAAAAACAACTTAACTAAGTCAACAATCAATACTGGTAACAATTTCAATAGCTAATACTATTAGTCATTCTTAGATATAATATTGCTAAGGCACTCTTTGAGTTTAATGAACTTTTTCTTGAATTGCAAACCACAGCCTTTGGATAATCTAAAATCAAGAAGAAGCTTCTTATCCATATCGAGTAAGTTTACTTTGAATATCAGCTGATTTTTATGAGAATCGGTAGTTGTTATAGTGAGAGCTCCATTTACATCTAAACTCCATGTCAAATGTAAGGAATCTAAAATAGAATACAGAGATTCCAATGTTTTTTCCCTATTCGTCAATACATAAAACCTAGTCATCCTCTTAATAAGACTATCAAAGTTATCTTTGGTAATGGGACTCTGAGTAAATTGAAGCATCAAATTATCATTTTGAGTAGGTTGAGAGAAGTAATTTGTAGTTCTGATATTATCCATAGCCTGCATTATCTTAGATTGACGAAACAAAGTAACTGGTTGAGATAAGGTAACAGTCGGTGCTTCTCTATTGTGCTTTGTTTCAGCTTCAACCATAGAATTGCACCTTTTAGCTGGATTTTCAGAGGAACTATCAACAGAATCTGAACTGGTATTAGAACCAAAGTAAAATTGCATCCAAGCATGTCTTTCAATCTCTTCTAAAGTCAGCCGTTTTTTAGAATCACAATGCAAAACCTTTCTAGCTAGACTTAAAGCTGTGTTACCTAATTTTGACCACGGGGTGTCTGATATGTACATATTTCTTTTCCACTTTGCAAATTCAGGGTTTACTTCAGTGGTATCACTCCATGGTAACTCGCCAGTCAACATAGCTACAAATACTATACCACAACTCCATATATCAGCTGGTTGAGCCCTATATGGCCTCTGGAATACTTCTGGAGCCAAGTAAGGTTTAGTACCGCATTTCTTATCTAAAAGTCTTTCTTTTCCTTTAAACCGAAAAAGTGTCGCTAATCCAAAGTCACTAATTTTCAAAATACCGTCAGCACTAATTAGTATATTTTCTGGTTTAATATCACGGTGAGCTATCCCTTTACTGTGCAGGTAGTTAACACCACAAAGAAGCTGCTTCATAAATAATTGTGCACTTGCTGACGGCATGCCAATATCAGGTTCGATCAACTGAAAAAGTTCACCTCCTTCCGCATATTCCAAAAAAATATATTCTTTCAAAGGCTCTTGCCTTCGCCCGAAATATTTAACAATATTTTCGTGGTCTAGTAGTTTGTGGATGGTAACTTCTCTGTTTATTTGAGCAGAAGCGTCCTTGTATTTTTTATGGTTGATAATTTTGCAAGCTATTTTTTCTTGGGTATGCTTGTGAACGAGCAGTTTTACTTCCCCATAAGCTCCTTCGCCTAGGATATTGTTGTAGCAAAGCCAATCTTCTACGAAAGCCGAAGTTGCATTTTCGGATGACATTTTTTACTATTCCGAAATTTATATTCACTCTTAATAAATAATACCGTTACTAAATTTTAAATTGGATTTTAAAAAATTAATTAATTCATCAAGTTAGCTAAACATAACCTATAACAACAACAAAAACAAAAGAGCGCCATATTGCATGACGCATGTACACCACAGATGCGAACATCCATGCATATACCACTGTCACCACTTGCATACAGAGTAAAAGACCGGGTGCCGGTATACTATTTTACTAGAGTCTGCGGGGCGAACCGAACTTTGCACATTTCCATAATTTGAAATTCGGCAACGTTGGATTTATTTTTAGCCGATAACCGAAATACTATTTTCTCAACCTGTCACGGAGCTTGATTTGCCAAGGTTGAATTGGAAGAACTAAGCCGATCAACAAAATTAAGCCGCATAGCGAGGTGATATTTGACACTTTGGCGCCCACATGTGCGTATCGAAATGCACTAAAAAGGATCATCAAAATTAAATTTAACACATTGGGCCACATATTTTGATGTGTTTAGGACCGATTCCACCGTTGTGTAAACAAAGTTTTTTAGGGTGCTTTTAAATGACATTTAAGCGTGTTAAACTGTCACTAATCGGACTAAACCGAACGCTAAAAGGGTCGTTTGAAGTAAAATGTGTTAAAGGAACTTGGCAGACCGAACGCAATGTCTATGGACTAAACCGAACGCTAAAAGGGTTGTCTGGTGTTAAAAGTGTTAAAGGAGTTAAATAAGCTTGGCAGACCGAACGCAATGATTGAACAAATCACGATACCGGGGGCTATTTTCAAAGTATGGGAGCACTCATTTCTCTCAAGATTCTCATCAGAAATGTCATACGTCAATGTGGAAACGCAGTTTTTAAAGGCCTCGAGGATTAAAATTCGTAGGAGGATATTAATTATCTCTAAATAAACCGTGAGAAACAATCAGTGAGTTCACACTGGCCCTTAGGACCCTAAAAATTACTGTTTTACGTTGACGTATGACATTTCTCTCGAGAGAAATGAATTCTCTCGACTTTGAAAATAGCCCCCCTGGCGAGTTCGGTCAGTCAGGGGCTGGAGCGGGACAAATTTTAGGGTGCTTTTAAATGACATTTAAGCATGTTAAACTGTCACTAATCGGACTAAACCTAACGGTAAAAGGGTCGTTTGGAGTTAAAAGTGTTAAAGGAGTTAAAGGAACTTGGCAGACCGAACGCAATGACCGTTGAATGACAACTGACAATAATGACAACATTCTGACAACTGCCATTCAACCTGAAAGAATAAAATAACAAAAGGCAAAGGTGTATATAAAAAAAACATTAAAATGCCCAAAGATCACAGGTCTTTCAGATTTGAATATAAAAAAAAGACAACGGAAAGTTCTCTTTCTTCAGATTCCCAAGATTACCATCACAAAAAAATGAGAAAACATTCACGAGATAGAAGTAAAGAAAAACGTTTAGATAAAACATATTTTGATGATAAAAGACGTGAAAAACCAAAGAAATCTAAGAAGAAACGATCCAAACATTCTTCTGACGATTCTAGTTCAAGCAGCAGCGAAAGTTCGGATAATTCAGTAAAGTTGTTGGAAAAACTTACCAAAGAACGAATAAGACAGACGGAAGAAAAAAAGAAAGAAAAAGAGGTACTTAAGGCTACAGAAACAGCAGAAGAAAAAAGATTAAGAAGGTTAGTTAAAAAAGAAGCAAAGGAACGAAGAAGAAAAGAAAAAATGGGTTGGGATAATGAATACTTGCACTACACAAACAGCGATAATCCATTTGGAGATGGTAACTTGCTAAGTAGTTTCGTTTGGAATAAAAAATTGTCTAAAGAAGGTATTAAGAACGTCAGTCAACAAGACATAGAGGCTAGAAACAGGTTAAAACAGGAAGAAAATAAGAGAGAACTTGAAAAAGTGAAGAAAAGGAGGTTGGAACGAGAATTAGAAAGACAAAAGAGAGAAGAAGAAACACAAATGTTACAAAGGAGTAAAGAAGCTGCACAATTTGAAGAATGGGAAAGGCAGGAAGACAAGTTTCATTTGGAACAAGCTAGATTAAGGTCTCATATAAGGATACAAGATGGTCGAGCTAAACCTATAGATTTGCTGGCAAAGTATATAAGTGCTGAAGAAGAGGTAGATGCAGTGGAGATGCATGAGCCATATACATACCTCAATGGGTTACAAATTAAAGACCTAGAAGATCTAGTTGAGGATATTAAAGTGTACAAAGAATTAGAAAGGGGTAAAAATTTGGATTATTGGAATGATATAACAGTCATAGTTGAAGATGAGCTACAAAAATTGAGAAAAATAGAGAAGCAAAACGATTTTGATTTAGGATTAAATAGAAGAGAAGGTATACATCAGTCAGTTGCTACTGATGTTACATCAGTGTTCAAAGGAAAAACTGCTGCTCAACTAGCAGCTTTAGAAAAGCACATTGAAAGTAAAATTAGTGGCAAAGCTGATGGAATAGATATAGGCTACTGGGAATCTTTATTGTCCCAACTAAAAGCCCACATGGCGAGAGCAAGATTACGAGATAGGCATCAAGAAAGTTTAAGAAGAAAATTACAAGTTTTAAAAGCAGAACAAGCTATTACAGCCCCCAGTGAAAGTCAGTCCAGTGACTCCGAGGAGCCAATTTCTGAACAAAATGAACCCAAACCTGGTACTTCTCAAGATGCTCATAATTCAGCTGAAGACAGTAATGAGGCAACTGAAGACACTGCTAATATTTGGATAAATGAATGTTTTTCAGCGTACCAAGCAGGTGGATACAGTCCAAAATTTTTAACTGCTGATGTTATTGAGCCTGGTACAATTATTGTCACAGAAGAGGATGATGTTAAGAGATTAGAATTTGCTAGAATTCAGGTGGTTGGACAAGGAGCTAAAGTTGAAAATGTTATAACAAAGGAAGAATTGTTGTTACAAAAGGAAGCTAGGAAAGGTATGGATGCTGATGAAGCTCAGTTTTCTGTTGAACAAGCTTTGGACAGTCAAGTGTATCTTTGGTCTGATAAATACCGTCCACGGAAACCTAGATACTTTAATAGGGTACATACTGGTTTTGAATGGAACAAATACAATCAAACTCATTATGATATGGATAATCCACCACCAAAGATAGTGCAGGGTTATAAATTTAATATATTTTATCCAGATTTAATAGACAAAAGTAGTACCCCAGAATATTATCTAACACCATGTCCAGAAAATAAAGAATTTGCCATTTTAAGATTCCATGCTGGCCCACCTTATGAAGACATTGCTTTTAAAATTGTTAATAGAGAATGGGAATATTCCTATAAAAGAGGATTTAGGTGTCAATTTCATAATAACATCTTTCAATTATGGTTCCACTTCAAGAGATACAGATATAGAAGATAAAAGTTAACATTTATAATTTTTAGTCTACACTTTTTCAATTCTCATGTATAATTTATTTTTTAATTAAATGAATAAAATTTTGTTGTTTTAAGTTAAACTACTTAAATGTACATCAAAAAGGTAAATATGTTTGAGTTTATTTCGATAATTTATTTCTGGAGACCAGTTGTCCCCACTTCTGTCTCTAGCTGCTACCTTTAGGCGAGTTCGGTCAGGTAGGGGCTGGAGCGGGACAAATTTTAGGGTGCTTTTAAATGACATTTAAGCGTGTTAAACTGTCACTAATCGGACTAAACCGAACGCTAAAAGAGTCGTTTGGAGTTAAAAGTGTTAAAGGAGTTAAAGGAACGTGGCAAACCGAACGCAATGTTTGTAGTCATACAGTTCTGTCATTTTTATATAAAGTAAATTATTTAACAAGAGTATGGGTTTTCACATTATACAAGAAAAAAACAGTGCTAAATAAATTATTTACTTGAAAAAATACGATTGCCATAGTTTAACTATTTCAAAAAAATTAATAAATTACCATAAAAGACGGTAAAAGTATGTTTCTAAACACCTATTTGTCACAAGTACCTAAACCAGTTTCCTAAAATAAGTTAGGGAATCCCTCCTCCATGGTTAGCACATACTTTTTCTTTCTGGTTAGCCACGTGGAGGAAGGATTATTAGTTTGCCTATGATAAATGAACAATCTTTTTGAAACTGCTTAAATAAACACAAAATCACATTTACCATTAGTTGACTTTCACTTAAGGTTCAAAAATAGGGGTGTACCAACGATAACTTTAATTTTCCTCAGAAACAAAATAATTTTTCTATTTACTTCATCATTTAACATAAATGAACTATTTCTAGATGAATCAAAATCCAATACTTTTTCAAATGCAATAATCCTTCCTCCATGTGCATCAGCCATTTTAATTTTTTTCGATACGAGCGCCATCCCGTTAATTGGAGTGGTACTAAATTACAGTGTTGCCAATACCCAAACTTGAAATTATACGGTGGCTGAGTACAAAAGATACGCTTTTTATACGCCTTTACAGATTTAGCTTTGCAGCCACATATCTGCATTTGAGGATATCAAATTTGTGTTGCTGTCAGGTTTGGCTTTAGGTTTGTGTCCCTTAGAATAAATATAGCAATGCAGACTGCCAAAAGACAAAAGTTCCAAAGTGCATTTCAACGATACGGAACAATATAGATTCGGTGAATCCCTGGCTCCGAACCTTCTTTCATTGGTCAATGACATGGAGTGTCTCTAAAATAAGCAGCCAGTTACCAGTCAGCCACTGTTTAATGAAAGTATAGCAGAAGACACACTGGAACAACTAAGGGCCGATTCCACCGTTGTGTTAAACGGAGATTAAAATGACATTGTTAATGTAAAAATGTCATTTTAAACTTCGTTTAACACAACGGTGGAATTGGCCCTTAGTTGTTCCAGTGTGTCTTCTGCTATACTTTCATTAAACAGTGGCTGACTGGTAACTGGCTGCTTATTTTAGAGACACTCCATGTCATTGACCAATGAAAGAAGGTCCTAAAATAAATGGAAAGTCAGAAAGATCCATAGGTTTTCCCAGAATGTACGGAAATTATACGGGATTTCAAAGAGTTAGAAGAAGATACGCTGGCAAGTCAGAATATACGAAAATCGTATAATTATACGCAAATCGGCAACACTGCTAAATTACGTTCCTAATGTTTACATTTGAGTTACCCCACGGGGGTCGGATTCCATGTAAATAGTTGGTAACAAGTTGCTTGACCTCGACAGTAGCGCGCTAAGCGCTTACGGTTGAACTACACCTGTCAGTTTCAGTCGATAAAGTAGAACACTACTAATTAAAGTGATTTAAAAATTGGCGGGCTTGATAATTTAGATATTTGAAGCAATTTAAAGTAACATTTTCCTATTTGACAACTTTTACTTACAACTACTAAACAAACAATAAGTTTAGTGAATTTTTGTTGTAGGTAAATGTTGAAAAATGGAAAATGTCACTTGTTTTAACTGAAAAATAAAATTAGTTGAAAAATAAAACACATTTTTAACAAGTTTAATTTATTTAGAATTACCATGTAATTACATGTGTCTCATTATCTTCTAACTGCATATTTTGAACATAACAAGCACTATATCACACACTAAATTACTGAAAAATAAAAATATAATATGATAACCAGCATAGCACATGACAATGTTTTTATTATTAAAAAAACCGGATATAGTTTTTATAAAAAGTCAAAGTAGTTAATTTATAAACACAATTGTTTTAATGTTTTAAATATCCCTTATTAATCCAAGGACAAATCATTCTAATTCTAATATTCTTATACTTATTGTCCCTTTAAGGCTTTTTCCATCTATTTCAATCTAGAATAGTTGTAATGCCTATTTCAGTTACAATAAGCCTCCAGCTTCAATACAGGTGGGCTTTGAAACTCACCCTAATTAAGAAACACATTTATGCACATTCCAAAAATCTCCATACCCGGGAATATCTAAAACAAAACAAAAATAAAGGTGCAGAGTGTGTATCTTAAAATTAAAAATAAACACGAGTCATAACCTTTTTAAATTCTTACATTTTTCTTGCAATAAAAGGTATTAAAATTTCAATAATAATAGAAAACATCTGATTTATGATCTTAATAGGTGAACTATGCAAAAATTAACAAGTTGACCTAAATAGCATATAAGTTTTTGAACATATTTGGGTATTATTTGATAAATATAATAATGAATATCACGCAAAAATTGAACAATAACTTTTTGAGCACAAATCATTCGCCTTTTTTCATCATGGTCTTTATGAGTAAAACTAAGATCAGGTTCTATCTCGGGTTCTACAATATTTGTTTGTAAATTGGCTTCACACATTTCGCTCACAACTCCTTTCATTTTTTTGACCGCAAATGTTTAAAATGTGGATCCATTTATCTCTAGAGTAATAATAGCAGGAAAAACAAACTTTCTTGTTAGTTTTGTGAGAAAAATACTTAGGTACTTCTGCAATTAAAATTTAAATGAATCAGAAGTTAACGATTTTCTTAAGAACCTGCCTATAGTTAAATTAGTTAAATCTAACTTACACTTAATACAATTTACTCACCTACATTTGAAAAAAATATCACCTGATTTGAAAATGAAAATAATATCAGGCTGACATATTTATTATTATTTATAGCAACATAACCTAATTTATTTTCAAAGCCAGATTTACACCACCTAATAATATTTAAATTTAGCTTTAACTTTAAATTTATTAACGATTATCCCTGTATTTGATCACACATTATAGCAAAGTGAAATTTAAAGGGGTAAATCAGTAAACTTATTGATTTCTTTGTCATTCTTTTTGAAAACATATTTTTTTATGGGTGTAAACGGGTTTGAATTTAGTGATAGCAGCGCGCTAAGCACTTACGGTTCAACTACCAATGGTGAGTTCGGTCTACGCACTCTTTTCACTATATTCACTCCTAAAGTACCTAAGGCGTTCGGGTACGGAAGGAGTTAAAATAAAAGTTCCTCTTTGACCGTTCGGAGATGGTGGAGTGGAGTGTGGATCGGGCATGCGCATAAGGTGATTTAAATCGATAATAAGTTAATTGTGACTGATTCTTCAGTAAATAAGTTTTTTTTTGGTTCCCGTGAATATCATTAATATGGAAGAAACTTATACGGTCGTTACTGATAAGTACGATTAAATTTTAAGTACTGGTATGTCACATTGACAACTGACATTGCACTCCGAGAGTTAAAGGCGTAAAATCATATTCGCACTCCGTTTACGCCATGTTTACGCCTAATTACTCCACTCCACTCTGGAGTGCGCAGCCCGAACTCACCTCAACAAGGAAACAAATCCCGCCATTTATTCAAACCTTCTCTTTTTATTTTTCTGAGTTACCCCATTCGATCATGTATTGTTACCCCTGCCCATAGACAGAGACAACACCATAGATTACTAATGTGAATAGATGGGAAACTAAATGGTAAAATTCTGAGTCGATGTGCTGCCATCTATCAAATTGGAGTGGTACTAAAATTCAATAAGGCCGCCACGAGCGGACTTTTTGAAATTTTACTTTGTAGTAGCGCAAAAATGTAAAGAAAATCAAATAAAGCAAAAAAATTGGAAAAATATTTGACTAGTTTCATATCATAAAACAACCATATTGACTGTTTTGAGATTTGAAACTAGTCAAATATTTTGCCAATTTATATCTCTATTTGATTTTACTTCATTATATTTTTGCATTAATTTCAAACTTGAAATAAAATGCAATTTATTTTATTTTTTTTATTACAGTAAATTAACGCCGCATGGTATAATTTGTCTATTTAAACATGGAAATACAGATATGCATTTACACCATTTAAATAATTAAATATTTATAACACAAACCTATCAAAAATGTTTTCTGTAACAAAATCAGCATATATAAGTGCTCAAGACCTTTTTAAAAGTTTTGTGACTTGGAGTGGCAAATAAGTTTGAAAAAATTGAAGTTGAATCATCATCCTTTTTTACTATCAAGGCAAATTTGAGTGTGGATAAAATTTGCCGTACGGTTATCGAGTCGACTAGTTAGGTTGAGGAGCATTTCTTCATCCGATATTTGTTTTCTTGATTCATTTATACAGCACAATTTTTATTCATCATGTGGGCACTGTGATAAATGAATTTAACTTTTGAGCATAAATTAAACTTACACACGTTTGGACCCTTGAAGATTTTAGGGCGTTTTCTTGTTTGATGTCAATGGCATTGAATTACTTTTTGATATTGATGACTGAGGCTCAAATATTTCATCAATCGACAGGGTATTTTGGAGGGCCAACATTTTCTTTACAACAATGATCATTTAAAAACTGAAAACAAAAAGAAATTTAAATAACAAACCAATTATTTTAACACTGAATCAAAAACAAGTTTGTAAATATTACTTACCATTGACGCCAGTACAAGATGCATTTTTCTTAAGACAAATTGTTTGGTTATCTTTAATATGACGACCTCATATTTAATACGTGGTATAAATTGCATCACTACCAATATCTGGGAGTGCTTTATAGTTCGTTGCTGAAATCCATGTTCCCATCTCATGAAAACATGCTTAAAATTGGAAGATGTTGAAAAATAAATCTAGATGAATCAAAATCCAATACACCTACAAATGTGTTTCAAATGCAACAGCCATTTTAATTTTTCCAAGTTTGAAGTTTTATTGACAAGCTGACAACTAACATGACATTTCGATACGAGCGCCATCCCGTTAATCGGAGTGGTACTAAATTACCGTCCTCATGTTTTCCTTTTGACTTACGCCCCTGCCCTTGCCACTGGGTTGTCAACTGCGTGTTCGGTTGGAATAAGTTTGTATGACGTCACTAAATTAAACCAGTGCTGACCAATGAACTGGAGTGGGGTAGAATGCTTGTCAATAGACTTGATGTGCGACTCTATGGGCGAAGATAGGTTATTTTTATCTCACTCGGGAGTATTTAAAATAGCCAGTTTCTATTTCACATTGTTATTGTCTGATCCACCAGCTTGTGGATTGAACAATAACAATGTGAAACAGAAAATGGTTATTATAAATAGTCCCGAGTGAGATGAACAATAAAAATGGCTGCGCACATCGAGTCGCACCTTGTTCTAATAGTACAACATGTACATTGGCATTCTACTCCCCTCCAGTTCATTGGGCCAAACGAAAGGTTTGGTGTAAGTCAGTGTAAGTTGGTGTAGTTCATTCCTACACCAGGGGGTCAATTCTCGACTTGTAGGAACCTTTTCCTATAGGAATTTGTGACACTTTCCTACATGTAGACAAATGTCATAAATTTCCGATGTGTAGAAAAATGTCAAAAATTCCTATAGGAAAAAATTTCCTACGAGTCGAGAATCGACCCCCAGTGGGACGAACGAAAGAACCTATAGCCATTGCGTCCGGTCTGCCAAGTTCCTTTAACTCCTTTAACACTTTTAACTCCAAACGACCCTTTTAGCGTTCGGTTTAGTCCGATTAGTGACAGTTTAACACGCTTAAATGTCATTTAAAAGCACCCTAAAATCTGCCCCGCTCCAGCCCCTGTCTATCCGAACTCGCCTAGCGACTAGTCGAAAACGCTATAAGATTCCCGCCATTTTGAAACTATTTGGTCTTGCGTTGTGGAGCTGTTTTGTGGAGTTTGTTTTTTTAGGCGCTTAAGTGTGGTAGTTGTTTTTGTTCCTCCATGGTTGTTTTATTCATGCCGGTTAAATAAGTAGTACAGAAAAGTTTATTTAAATAAAAATTTGAAGCACCTAATATTCAAAATCATGTCTGAAGAGAACGCAAATGATAGCAACCCTGAAATTGATGAAGATAATGACGATCCTTCCATATTAACATTAAACGACGTATTGGAAATAGAAAACGAGTTGATTGAGAACACTGCTGCAGTACTTGGGGCTGCAAATGACAAAACTTGCTCTTATGCTGAGGTAAGACACTATAAATATGGAATTTTGGTAAATATGGAATTTTGGTAAATATGGAATTTTTATTACAAACATATTTTTGTGTATCTTAAAACTTAACTCATAGGTATTTCCTATAAATAAAATGTAATTTATTACAAATTATACTAAATGCATATTCTACTACACTCTGTATTTAATAAAATTGTGCAAATGTAATTAAAATTCAGGAAATGTATGGACTATTTTTTTTATTTAAAAGGGTTACCTCAAAAGACAAGCACTCTACTCCTGTCTCACGTGCATTCCTGGGGCTAAAGAGGATCCTGAAAAGGGAGCAGGAGTTTGCTTGGCCTGCAGCTACCATTGCCATGAAGGCCATGATCTTGTAGAATTGTACACTAAGAGGAATTTTCGCTGTGATTGTGGAAACTCGAAATTTTCTAATGCACAATGCAACTTATTAAACGAAAAAACTGATAAAAATGATCTAAACACTTACAATCAAAACTTTTCTGGTTTGTATTGTGTTTGCCATCGCCCTTTTCCAGATATGGAGGATCCGGTACCTGATGAAATGATTCAATGTATTATTTGTGAGGATTGGTATCATACCAGGCATCTTGGAACAGAAGTACCAGCTAATAATTTTGCTGGTAGGTTAATTGAAAATTAATGTTAATGTAGTGGGTACATTATATATTTGTTGTCTAATTCATTTTGATAACCCATTATTTTTTTTTTAGAAATGATTTGTGAGGCCTGTATTACCAAACATGAATTTTTATTGCATTATGATTCATTTAGTATGCTTAAACCTCTGAGAACTACTGAAGATAGCACTGTAGATGTAACTACTGCCCCAAATCCAAATGATTCAGAAGAAAAGGGCAATAATGTAGAAGCAGAAACTCCAGCTGATTGCAAAAAACCAAAAGAAAAATCTCTCAAGATTTGTGCTAAATTTTGGCCAGAGGTTAGTAAAGTTTTACTTCTAAATTATATAATATATATTTAAATGTATGGTACTTTTTTAGGTAGGCTGGCGTAAAGAATTGTGTACATGTGACGACTGTCTTAAAATGTACGAAAATCAAGATGTAGCATTTCTTTTAGACCATGAGGACCCAGTACATCTATACGAAGAAAAAGGCAAAGCTAAAATTCAGGAAATTGTTGAGGATCATGACAAACAAATCATGAAATCAATGAACCGCGTCCAATTGGTAGACTGTATTGCAGGATACAATGATTTGAAAGAAAGACTTGGTGAATACCTCAAAAAATTCGCTGAAAACAAGAAGGTTGTTAGAGAAGAAGATATAAAAGAGTTTTTTGAAGAGATGCATGCACGTAAGAGACAAAGAGTTGATGATGTTGAAGTTCCCAATTTTTGTCGCTAATTTTATCTGTTTTACCTAAACTGTTTTTCTCAAATAAAAATATTTACAGACTCAATTTTATTATTATTAATTAAAACTAGATGTGCTAGATGTTTGGTATAAATGTTATTACCCTAATTTCAATTAGTGTTTTTATATTATACATAGCTAATTTGTTTTTTATTTTCAATTAGGTCATTCTTTGTAAGAATAAAACAAAATATTTTTCCAAATTATTTATTTATCCTTAAGTTACAAAGAATATGCTATGGACAAAATAACAAATAAGAAGCAGTAAAAACAAAACGATAATCGGTCTATTGCAGCAGCTAATAATATCCAGTCCCTTTGTAGACTTGTTTGGTATAAATGTTATTACCCTAATTTCAATTAGTGTTTTTATATTATACATAGCTAATTTGTTTTTTATTTTCAATTAGGTCATTCTTTGTAAGAATAAAACAAAATATTTTTCCAAATTTATTTATCCTTAAGTTACAAAGAATATGCTATGGACAAAATAACAAATAAGAAGCAGTAAAAACAAAACGATAATCGGTCTATTGCAGCAGCTAATAATATCCAGTCCCTTTGTAGACTTGGTTTAGTGGCAGACAATTGAGATTTAATGATGTGGTTATCCTCGCTGCTGTTTCCATCTTCAAAGTCGGTCACCTGGTGATCCCGCATTTCTTCAGCTGTTACTCTATGGCTAGAGTTTCCACTCTAAAAAATCAAAACTATTATTTTTTAGAACCCAAAATTATCTTTCATAGAATTTTAAAAAACCAGGCGAGAACTTGTTAAAGTGAATTACATCTTTATGTTTTACTTCTTATCTAACATCGCCCTGTTATCTAGTCTGAGTGCCAACAAACTTCATCGACCAAAGCTATATCAATAGGCTTTGGTTTTGAGGTCAACACAGTTCCAAAAATATAAATAAAAGAGGTAGTTTTTGCAGGGGCGGCTCAAGAACAGCCCCAGATATACCACTAATTTTTATATGCATTTTTTGTACAATAACTCCTGACCTACTCTTAGTTTTGTTGATATATTAAGTCCAGGACGCACGAATTGCTATAGAAATTAAGTTAAAAAATTGTAAATAGCTCGTTAACTAAAAAAGATACAAAGTTCATTTCGCGATAAAAAAAATTTAAAAATTCATAGTTCCTTTTGATTTTAAGATCGATAAAGCAAGTTTCTTTATGTAAAAAAAATACAGGGGGGTTAAAAGGTACCCAACCCCCCAACTTTTTTTAAAGGGGTCGCTTTAAATTTGTTTTCTCCTTAGAATATTGGGCCTTCAAATTTACAGCACTGGCAAAAATTTCAAAGAAAAAATCGCAACAGCAAACTACAAAAAAAAAAACGTTTTTCTGAATGTTAGTTTAACACCCTGTAACTTTGTTGGGCGCCAGTTTTTGATATAGGTAAATATAGTCAAATACACTTATTTTTTGGTAATCTATCTAAGGAAGAATTTATAATGACATACCTTTTTCAAACATCCTGTATAAATAGCGCGACTTTGTCGATAGAAGGTACGTTTCAACATAAATGTTATTGAATAAAGATAAATAAGAAGTGTGAATTATAATAGTGCCTTAAGTATTAAATAAATTAATCACTACAAATAGATTATAAATAAACTGTTTTAAATAATTAACTATTTTTAAAGTAAGCAATCGTTACAATATTATGATTTATGTTTAATTTCAAGAATTATTAATTGAGGAAGTGTTTTAGTTTTTGACGGTAGGTACGTTTTTTTAATAAAACGTTTGGTAATGATTTCATAAGTTGGAGTTTTATTATTTTGTCAAGATTTTTAAAGAAATGTCCGGAATTTTCTACAGAAATGACAGGAAATTGCATTTTTGAATATGGTAACCCTAAACCAAATGGGGCATCTAGAGACACCTCGTTATTAACCTGCAGGAGTTTTACCTGAGAGATTGGCTATACCTAGACACCCCTCAGCGGCCATCAGCAGGTTTTTGATAAGTTAATAACCTCCAGGTCTTTGACGAGCTTAGAAGATGGCTGTCTGTAGACACCCCTCAGCATGAACCAGCAGGTTTTTGACGAGTTGATAACCTGCAGGACTTTGATGACCTAGAAAGACGGCTGTCTCTAGACATCTTTCAGCGGCAATCAGCAGGTTTTGACAAGTTGAGAGGCCTTATGAGATCTAAGTACTGTGGAACAACTCACCCTCCCCTCTTTACGGATAAGGTTAAGGTATTTTTTACTTGCCTTTTGTGGGTCCAAAATTGGAGAATTGGACTTTAAGAGATTTATAATTAAACTATGATTGCTATTATTTAAGGCTGAAAGTTCTTTATTGATTATAGCAGTTGGAGTAATTAAAGTTTGGATGAAAACCATAAAACAAATGTAATGAAATTTGGTGTGCATAACAGAGTGAATACTGCAATTTTTACTAAGTGGAGTCTAGATGTACATATTTTTATTGGATATTCAAACAAGAGTTTCGAATATTGATAATAAATTTAGGAAGTCCTAAAAGATGATTGGCTAGCTTCACAGCTCCTGTGTAAGGTGAAACCTCAGCTATGTTGTCGTTTTGCTAAGGTCTAACTGTTGTAAACGACGTTCAATAGACATTGTGAGATTATCAGCCACACTTTGATGGATAATATCAATATATTATCAACTGAAGAACATATGGGCGTCCACTTTTTGGTGTTTTGATGTCTTACACAGATTCTGTAGATTATAAGTTCTGTACTATACTTTTTATAAATAGTTTTTTTTTTTTCTAATTGGCGATTATTCACACCAAAGTAATCATGAATTGCAAAAAGTTTGCGATAAGAATAGTAGCAAAACAAAAACATTCAGAAACTCTTTGCAATACCCTAATATAACTACCTGGTATATGTAGGATTCCAATCCCAATAGTTTTCCAAATTTTCCAGTAAGTGGTTGCTTTATGATCCAAGGTAAAGTGCTGCAGTGCTTTGTTCTGGACATTGTAATGACTACCACAGATCCAATCATTGATAAACATACTATGTAGAGGCAACTTGTATAAAATAGCACTAAAACAAAAATAAAAACATTTTGGTATTCACTTCATAGAAAAATAATTGTGTGATGCAAACTAACGACAATGTTCGCAATTTGGGATAGTAAAACTCTCCTACAATACTCACAAATAGAACATTCTAGACATTTAAAATGTTGGGATTTGTTCAGAAGTTACTTTTTTTATTTGGGGGTGTTTTAGTATGATATTTTGTACAACGTAAAATGAAAAAAAGACATTAAACTGTATAAAATAAAATATTTAGACAATTTTTAAATCCAGATTTATATCAAGTTTTTCAGCCAGTTTATTTAAAACCGAATCGACTATTACAGACATTTTGGGGGTTGTAACCCATCCCCCTTAAATGCGCCAAATGAACGGACAATTTTCTATTAATACATTTAAATTGCTGTACTCGACTTTGGTCAAGTTTAATTTAGAATACTGCTGCTGTCTGGTCCCCCAATTATATTACATTAATCATCGCTACGAAACAAGAAATTTAAAACTGAATTATCCATCTCATAGATTAAGCTCTACTGAGAGGTACCCTTATTATATGGCAATAAAATTGTTTAACAAACTTCCCTTATAGCTATTAAAAATTGTACAAGTTCAAAAAAGAAATTAAAAAATTACTAATAAACTTAGAACCCTATATAGTGTTAATGATTTTTTAAATAAACACAGTTTTAATTATGTATTTTTAATTTATTAGAATCTGTATTTTTACACCAGTTTTTGTATATGACGTCATTTAATTATATGTTAGTATATTTTTCTTCTATAGGTAAATGTTAGCATTTTCTGAAATAAAGATGATTATTATTATCAAATCACATTGAGGAAGGTACAAGGAAACTTTCTGCGGATGTGTGCTTTCAAAATGGGTATACATGGATGAAAATATTCTCCAGTTAAAGATGCAGTGTCGGCTGGTGCATAAGTGCTGCCAAAAAATGTAAGTAGCTCATCTATATTTCACAGAAATTATTTTAGATATTCTAAAATATACGTAAAATAAATTTTATGGGTAATCTCATTAATTTGAATTATTAAATAGTATCCATAGCGCGCGAACGTATCCTACTGTCAGTTCATAGCTGATAATGGGTCCTATGATTGAACGTTTACGTTATCCGTAACGTACATGTTAGGCCGAATTTTAAAAGTAACGAGGCAAGTTCGTATGATGGAAACCTGTTAAATTAGAACATAACAGGCGGAAAATAACAGTAATGTGTTATGAAAGACTTTACATCATACGAATTTGTCTCTTTGCTGTTAAAACTCGGCCTAACATGTACGTTACGGATAACGTAAACGTTCAATCATACCACCCAATGGGTGCTATGATTGAACGTTTACGTTATCCATAACGTACATGTTAGGCCGAGTTTTAACAGAAATGAGGCAAATTCGTATGATGAAATTTTTTTTTCAACACGTTACTGTTATTTTCCGCCTGTTATCTTCTAATTTAACAGTTTTCCATCATCCGAACTTGCCTCGTTACTTTTAAAATTCGGCCTAACAGGTACGTTACGGATAACGTAAACGTTCAATCATAGGACCCATTAAGTCCATAGCTTTAACAAAATCTCGCCAGGTCATATTCATCTCTTAGCTGGGTCGCTTCGTGGACCACTTGGTCCGTTCGAGCACCTCCGCGGCTTTCTAATATGTAACGCCGAGTTTTGGGCTGTATTTTTGCCAGTTCGGCGAGCTTTGGCTATAGTCTGTCGCATATAATATGTGATTCGGTTTTGTAGATGTAGATCACTAGTTTGTGTTAATTTGCCAGCACGCGTTTCCATTGTATATGAAATTCATGGATGTAGAATCTTGCAGAACACCCAATGTCTTTAACCACGAGCCGAGCCACTAAAGATGCAAACATTGGAGCATTGGCGAATAGAATTTGACTTGGTTTTATATATAATTTTACATAATTACTTATATGGAATTCTGAACTATTAAATATAATAAATACTTTTCAGTGTAAATGAAAGACGTACGCGAAATTTTGAACTATTTAACATACAGACAAAATGGAACAATATTCAAAATTTTATGTTTAGCTAACAAACACCAGAATAATATTGATATTTTCTATAACTCTCTTCCAGCTTTTAAAGTATAAAAATCTTACATGTCAATATACGTAATATGTAATTGTTGGATATTTTTATTTTCTATATTATTATTTTTTTTCTTTTTAAGTATATAAGTTTATAACTCGTATTAATATTGTAAAGTAATTGTTTTATATTATTTTTTATGGAACTTTGTTATACAATTTTGTAAAATGGGTTTTGATTCGTAAATAAATAAAAAAATTTCTTTCTATATCTATGTCGGCATCATCAGAAGTACCGCATTCCTTTATTTTAGTTGGTAGCTGTTCTTAATTAGTTTCTAATCTTCTGTATGTTTAGTAATTTACCTATACAAAAGTGCTTACCAAAAAAATTATAGCATTTTGAAGTTACAAAAGTTATACATTGAAAATCGATTTTTTTCAATAGCGCCGAAAACAATTTTTCATGAAAATAGACATGTATTCTTTGAAACAAAAGCAACTTTGCAAGAAATTATGAAAACAGTGTAATTCATATAATTTTTATAGGGGGTTGTGATCCTCTACACCCCAAATTTTTGTGAAGAGCTGAAATATCTAGGTCTTATCCTCGTTAAAAAAACCTCTAGAACTCCCAACTGGACACAACCGTCAACAAAGCCAGGCAATCCTTCTGGACTCTGGACCCTCGGAAGGATATGGGGAAACGCCCCTAAATACATCTACTGGATTTACCAAACCGCGGAAAAACCAATGGTTACGTACGGCTGGGCTGGTTGGTGGGACAAGGAACTACAACTACTGCCAGAACAAAATTGTCTAAAATTCAGTGGTTTTCGTTCATCGCCATCAGTGGGACAATGTCCACCACATGCCATGGAAATTATGTTGGACCTAACCCATCTTCACTTTTTGCTGGAATGGGTGGCCAGGATGGTTTCCTACAGACTTATGACTGTAGGTAGTCAATACAAGGAAGAACTGCGATGGTACAAAACGGGATTGTTGAGTGAAATAAATGACCATCACATTCTCGGCATGGTCTTAGACTCGCTAACCCTCATATATAGCACATATAAAAATCATACAGCGTTATCATTCCAGGCAGAGTCGAATAGAGTATATAAAAGAACATTCTCCTCTCCCAGACTGACTATGAACTGTACACGAACGGCTCCAAAATTGAAAAAGGCGAGAATATTCGGCAAAAAACAAAGAGTTTACAGGTCAAAAAATCTGGGAACTTCTGCAGCGATCTTTCAAACAAATGATCGCTATATAGAATTGGGAGCGAAAGAGACGATTACTCTTCCTCTTACTTACAAGACTATAAAGATCTTTTCAAATAGCCAGTCAGGTCTAAAAGCTCTGAGCTTCAACCGAGTTGATTCAAAGTTAATTTGGTACTGTAGAAATAACCGAGTGGCTAGATGCTCTTTAACAAAATTACTTTGTAATGAGTTCCGGGAAATAGCGGGGCAAAAGGCAATGAAAAAGCCAACGCTCTCGCTAAAAAAGAAACTCCGTACCAGAACTATTCCTTGACACTGCTTATAAAGGGTGAAATACTCATGTATTGGAAATATACCCCAGGGGTATCCCATTCAAAGGCGTTTATACCCAAAACCCTTCTATGAATGCATCTACTCAGCTCCGTGAATGGAGTAGTATATGAACGATTCTTACGAGTCTGACGATTAGGTAACCACGCGAGACTGTCGATTCTACAGTATGGAAGACATCTGTAGAACACATTCTGTGTATCTGCTTCGTTTTGGAAAGAAGTAGATTCCAGATCTTTGGCTTTACCTGACTGGAGCCTATCCACTTTAAACAAGTCTCATTATGGCCTTCATCAAAAGGTATATTTGTACAGTAAACTTTATATAATTTTGGCGCCAAGCGACATAATTGATCTGGGTCGCAGTGGAAGTTGATGTGGTCATTACACTCATTTTCGACCTAGCCTATGACCTACCCTTTTGTTATACCCTATATTATAGGTACCTAGTTGGATCTAAAACATATTTATATGAAACATAGTAACTCACCAACTAGTGGAATTTCCTTTCCCATCAGTGGAAGTTTTTGCGAAAAATATAACATAAATAAGCAAATGATTATCGCCGTACATCCGTTAATAATTATTTTTTCGCTTGCTTGTGGAGGTAGCCAAAAACTCAACAATGTCAATGTAATGATAACTAAAAAATTCAAGAAAAAAATTAACGTTCTACACTTTTTTATTATTTAATTACAATGTACTTACCAAAAGCTGGTGTAATTATAATGGTTTTGTAAGCATTAGGTATTCTATTCAAAACTAATTTAATTGTTATATCAGGATACGGTTCTTCGCAACAATCATACTTTTTTACATTTCTCACTTGTTCAGCTTTCGCTATATCCCATTCTGCGTTAGTTACTACCATTTCTAACTAGAAAAAATAGTAAATACTAATGAGTCAATTATTAATTTTTAAAACTGAATAATTAATGATTACTATTTCTTGTTTACGAATAAACTAAAAAATAATATCACTATTTGAAGCAGAATATGTTACAACACTTACGTTAACCATTGTTCGATTATTGTAATGAGCAAGATCTATTTGTTCCCCGCTATAAGTCCAAGACCCGAAGACTAAGTTACACTCTTGTGTATCAAATGGCCAGTACCTTAAATGTACAGTGCAAAGGACCGTTAGCTGCACCGGAGGAACCCACAGAACTTCTCCATTAGGATATACCAAAATGTGCGTATTTACGTACTGGTTGAGTGGGCTACTCACTGCACTAAAACATTAAAAAAAGTCTAATAAAATATTAAGATACTAACGTGTCAGAATAAATGGAGGTATTTAAATAGGTACACATTACCTGTTATATAAGTAAATATCTGGTTGCCAAATTTCATGTTCTGCAATATGTAGGGTGTTAATGTCTCCATAGTCGGAGGTATTCCATTTAAGTTTTTCGTCATTCCAGACCTATTTTTAAAAACTACAATTAAATTTTACATATTATTTCTTTATTAAATACTTATTTTAAAATAACAAAGTTAATAATTGTCCTCTTAAATCTTATCCTTACTGCATCTTGTTTTAAATTTGCAATGTACTTTTCTAAATGAAATCAAATTTTATTTTCCAAAGTTTTTTTAACTTTTTGTTTATGAGATTACTTAGATTGCTAAGAAAACGGTGCTTAATTTAGAACAATAATGAATTATATGTGATTCCCACATTCATTTCTTACCAAATAATAAATATTAGACAATTCCTAAGAGAAAATTTTAGTAGAATATATCTAAAACGTAACAATTCTTATTGAATTAGTACAGGAACAGAAATATATCATGAAGGAGAAAGAAATTATTAAATTTTGGGTTGTCCCTACAGCACTTAGGCCTCACTAGGTACACGGTGCATCCTTCGGGAAAATAGGACCTGCTTCTCAACTTGTCAAAGTCCTGCAGGCTAATAACGTTACCGAGACGTTGCTGTAGATGTCCTATTTCTGGAAGTAGCCATGCATTTGGTGCCCTTTTACCACCCCGATGGTAAATGCCCGGATGGAGCAATTTTGTCGGCCCGAACTACAGGGCGAAATTAGTTTTTTATTAGGTAATTGTTAAAAAAAATGGGTGGAATTTCGTTTAGAGGAAATCCGCTTTTACAAAAAAAAATAAAAATGTTTCTGTAGTCTTCTATGTAGGATGTTCCTTAATGAGATACTAATATTTTAATAGTTTAAATCTACATGAAAAATTAATGATAATTTGCTTTATAAACTATAATTAATATTTTCGTAACCGCTTGAGAAATTTCGGTGATATTTTTTTTAAAACAAATTTATAGCTTAAACGTGGTGTGCATACGGGCACTAGCCTCAATATTTTTAAAGAAAAAAAAATGGTACGCCAATGGTTTTTTCCCAAATAAAAATATTTTTAAATTCCTCGTTCAATTTTTAACTTGTTTTTCTACGTTTTTTTTTTTTTAATTTTTCTTGACTGGATGGTTAAATACTAATAATTTATTGCAATATCTATTTTTAACTTTAATTTTTAAAGTACTGTGTACATTAATGCCACCCTATTTATGGAAATTAGTATTTCGAAATAATACACATAATGTGAATACCTATTCGTAATCATTATTAGTTCAGTAACTGAAGACCTGAAAATATGAAAAGCTGTCATTAATCGGTCCAGATTTCCTTTGTGGCTCAATTCTTAGGTCTTGACGGTTGCTTTCAAGGGCGAAAACTTTTACCAACACTGCTGGTCGGAAAGGGCTCAAAATGGCCCCTAAAGTCCCAAAAAATGGTTTCCCGCTAATATCTGCCAAAATATACAATTTTTGTTTAGATAAAAAATGAAGATCGTATCATTATCTAAAAAAATGGTCCCTACTGTACTGTATCACGCTATATAGGTTAAGTATTTTAATAAATTAATGTTATTGATTGGATAATTCCATTTTCTTTATTTTACTATTTGCTTTAAAGGTTAGATGTAAGAGTAGCCGCAGGCTAAATCTCGCCTAACAGATTGTACTATTTTTTTCATTTGTACAAATAAAGACATTTATTATTATTATCATCATTATCATTATATTGTTTAAAAAGCAAACCATCACTCATTTTTCAAGTAGATTTTCACCCTTAAATATTCGCATATCATTAAGGAATATCCTCTGGCTCTAAAAATGAAAAAACCTTGATGAAATTAACCGTTTTTGAGAAAAGTCGGCAATACTGCAGCCCCAGGAATTGTTATATTTTTTAATTTTTGTTAACGCGAAACTTTTCTAAAATTGGATTACATCTGTAGATTAGAAGTAATATAAAACCAATTAGGGTTAAAATTCTAGTGTGGAAACGCATTTATGTGCAAGTTTATACAAAATAATATTATTCAGTGTAAATTTTTTGACATTTTTCGACAAAATATGATTTTCAATCTACTTAATATATTTTATATAAAAGGCCTTGCCCTGTGTGTAGGCCTTGCCCTGTGTGTAGAGTGAATTATTTCAATTTTTCATGTAAAAAAAACATTCCGCAAAAACCGAAATGTTATTTATTTTATTTCTTACCAATAGCACTGTATTCTTTTCTATACAATTTTCCCCTACAAAATTTTCAGTAGAACATTAAAAATACAAAAAAGCAAATTTGTTATAAAAACTAGGTGGCACAAAATTGATCGAATTGGAAATTTGATCGAAACTTTATTTTATCAAATATTTGATTGAATTACAAGTGATCAAAAAGACAATAGATTTAAAATTCATTAAATCGAAAGGACAATATATCGAATATCAACGGCTCTGTCATGAAATGGCACGTATCCAAAGAGCGCCTGAATGAAAGAGCGCGTATCCAAAGAGCGCGTATCAAAAGAGCGTCTTAGCGAAATAGTGCTTATTAAAATAGAGTCAGTCAAAGCAGCGCCCGTTCAAAATAGCGCCTGGAGCCATCACAGGGTGCTTCACGTTTTTTTACATAAAATTATATAAAAAAAATTAATTCACCTTACCTGTGCGTCCAAAACGTTCACGCACAGATTATGTAATTTGGTTAATGAGTTTTTTTAATTTTTCTCAATTTATGTATATTTTTTGCGAAGCAACCCAGGTTACAATTCGAACAGGATCTTTTTGGCAACGTAATATTTTAAATATTATGAGACTCTGTCCTTGTATTTACCTATACCCCAGCCTATAATCTAATATACAGTATCGTTTTCCAATATTCTTTGCACAAATGCTTGTGAAAATTACAGAGTTGTCGATAGTGCGAGCAAAAAACGAATAAAATCGCTAATGCTCTCTGTAGTTTTCACATGGACTTGTGCATTGTCTATTGGAAAAGGTTCAGTGGCCGACACTGTATATGATAATGTTCGATAATTTAGTTTTTCGATCAATTGCTTTCAATCAAATCTATTTTCCATCAATTTTCTCTTCGATCTTTGTTCTTTTCGATTAATTGTTTTTTCGATCAGGTGTATTCGATCAATTTTGTGGTGGAAAATATTTCCCTCTATTTTTGTAGCTTCTCTTTTACAATGCATACTCAAAATAATTTGAATAGTTACCAGTCGAAGCCAAGCAAACGCAGTCAACATGGATTTAAATTCATTAAATTCGACGTGCCTTATTTCTAACCCTAATTGGACGGTTGTTTTGTTGAAATGTTGAGCGGGTCTGGCAAACTTGTCGTAATTTAGGAGCAGGTCATGTCGAAGTTTATCCGTGTATGTGGCGTTCCAAAGTGGTTGTGGCCCCATTTCTAAATACAAATATTAGATGTTTTAATTAATGGTTACCGAGGTTGCTCATACTCGAGTGAATATAAAGAATGAAAACATTGATTGTCTACAGGAAATATAAAAACTTATTATTAGTACAGATGAATTTATAAAAATATCGTACAAGTAAAATGCGATAACAGCAGACTCCGTTTCATACAAATTAGATCAAGTTCACCTCACATTGCAATGCATATACTCAGGGGCGTGTGGTCCATGGAAGCGGGGGAAGTACCGCTTCCCTACACTTTGAAATTTAAAAATAAATATTTTTAAGTTTACAATGCATAGAAATTAATATTAAATTAGGTACTAAATTTTATCTGAAACATTACGTAAACTTCGTAAATTCATTGGTGTGTAAACGCACGCATCACCCATGAGAAAATTAATTATGTAAACGTACAAATGGTCTGTCAGCGGAAGCGCCTCTTGAAATAACCTGTTCATCTTGCAAGTGATTTCGCTTAGTGTTATTGACCCTACTTTGCAGCGACAGTTTCAGTCTGTTTGAACACGTGAAATACGGTCGAGAGGCAGCGATTATTACGTCGCCTTACGCTTATTGCAATTCGCACCGCGAATCGACGTGTGAGGAAAATCTTAGATTTTAGGTAGATTTCGGTTTGTTTTTCGTAGTTGTTTTTCTTTTTGTAAAATGGAGGAACTATGTACTGTGCCTGTGAACAATAATAATGTAGTAAATTGTGTCTGTATTGTGTGCTCTTTATTAAAAAAAGGATTTTCAAGTAGAAATTTTGAAGAGAAAACGGACATTATTAATTCTAATAGACTAAAAGGATCCTATCAATTTAGAGACGAAAGTAGAAAAATCAGCAAAGAAATTTACCAGGCATTTTCTATGAAAAGTATGAATGGTTAACCGGCTGCAAAACTTTGAAGAAATTGTTTTGCTGGCCTTGCCTACTTTTTAATATAGTCGAAAAAACACATTGGAACTCAGTCGGTATTACAGACTTGAATAATTTTCACAAAAGTGTAAAACGACATGTAAATAGCAAATCTCATATAAGTGCTACAATTAAAGAAAAAACATTCGGGACCTATCGCATTGAACATAATCATTTAAAAATAAGCAACAAAATTCACAATGGAAGGGTAAAAAAAAATAGGGACGTCTTACAACGATTAATAGATATAACTTGTTTCCTGGGAGAGCATGAACTAAGTTTTAGGGGTCACAATGAAGCAAGTGGATCCGCCATTCAAAGAAATTACATGGACCTTCTAAGTTTTTTAGCAAAATACGATAATACCCTAAAAAATAATTTTATTGATTCGAAGACTTTCCGAGGTACCTCAAACAGAATCCAAAATGATTTAATTAAATGCACTGCCGACGTTGTGATGGATCACATTAAAAGTGAAATTAAAAAAGCACCTTTCGTATCAATTGCGCTTGATGAAACCACAGATGTAGCAAACTTAAGTCAATTATCAATTGTTGTGCGATATGTATTGGATGGCATTCCTCAAGAGCGATTCTTAGGATTTTTGGACGTCACTAGCGAACGAACTGCAGATCCATTGTTTAAAATTGTTTGTGACATTATTTCAAGTTTAGAATGTGGTTCTAACCTTGTTGCCTAGAGCTACGATGGTGCTGCCGTAATGGCTGGCCATTTAGGAGGTCTTCAAGCTAAAGTGAAAGAAAAGTTTAAACATGCAATTTTCGTTCACTGTATAGCACATAGACTTAATTTAGTTTTATCGCGAAGCATGGATAATATTAAAGATTGCAAAGTTTTCTTTTCGACGCTTGGTGGCTTGGCTTCATTCTTTTCAAAGTCATCGAAAAGAAGTCGCGCTTTGGACGTTCACGTTCAAAGAAGGTTTCCAAAAGTTGCTCCGACGCGATGGAACTACAATGGACGTTTAGTGCAAACAGTGTTTCAGTACCGTGATTCTTTGATAAACTTTTTTCAAGACATTTGCTATAATAAAGAAACATGGGATGCTGAGCCTGTTACTGCTGCTATAGGGTATTTGCATTGGCTCAAACAAAACTTTGATTTCAATTTTTTGCTTAACATTTTTGCAGAGATTTTTCCTTTTACTGACATTTTATTCGACATTTTACAGATAAAGTCAAATGACATTGGCTTTTGCATTAAACAAATTGATGATTTTAAAAATAAAATGAATAAAAAACGAGATCAATTTGAACACTTTTGGAATAAGACTCAAAACATTAGCTTAGAACTTGAAAGAAAGAGAATTAGAATTGATAATGTCGGCGACAGAAAGACCTCCTATCGTCGATTATACGCCGAAATTTTTGATAATATTCTACAACAAATGAACTCTCGATTTCAAAACTTTAACGAATTAAAATTTGTTGAATTGTGTAATTTCACTAATATTTAATTATGGAATTTTTTTCGATATTCCAGTATTAAAGTCCCAGTTAAGTGTTGTTGATGAAACAACTGAATTTAGTGATAAAAAGACGCCCATCAATGTGTTAAATTTTCTTAATAAGTCCCTTTATGAAGTCGTCAAGTTGTGTGAATTAGTACTAACCATCCCAGCCACAAGTGCGTCAGTTGAGCGAAGTTTTTCAGCTTTAAAGCCCATCTCTAATTTAGCCCTAATATCCATTGAAAACAGCTTATTAAACAGTTATCAGAAAATCCAAAATTTTACGACGATGTTCTAGACAAATTTGCAGTCATTGACGATAGGTGAATAGATCTTAAATATAAATAAATGTCAACTGCTGTGTCAAGTGTGCGAAAAATGCTGGAGAAAATAAAAAAAACTTCAGTTAAACGTTTTTTTTACGTTTAAATAAACCAAGGAAGCTTTTCAATGGTAAGTTTTTTTATAGCTTCTAGTACTAAACTAGGTAATAGTAACACTTTAAAAATCTCAATCTCGAATATCCTTATTAGTACTGAGGAAAAAGCAAGACTTTGACAAAATGGAGAATGCGCCGCGATAAATTTTCGCCTGCGGCGCTGTGCTTACTGGTCTGCTGTATTTTTATACAATCGCTTCCTCTTCCAAAAATGTCACCGCACGCCACTGCATATACTTGGTACACTTTTTTATGAATACAGTTATTTATACTAATAAATTGAAAGAACCTCTTTTTTTCTATATAAAATGGTGCCCAGGCATTCTAGTGCTTTGCAACTTTGAAAACTACAGGAAATTACAAGAAACTAAAAATTAAAGAAAAAAATGTGAAATCAATATTTTCTTTAGAAAATATTTAAAACTAGTGAAATCGAGGTTGGAACAGTTGATATACCTATTACGTATAATTGAGCCATTTAAAGTATGCAGCAACAACACACGCAGATTTTTTTGCAAAGAATTTAATAGATTTTTTAAACTTGTCCTATAATTAGAGCACTCTTGAATGAATTTCCTTACTTGTTGTGGTAAATCCAGACTTGACGTGTGCACTAATCAAAAAAATAATGTAAAACAGAAGGTGCACATTAGCACTGATCATTTTTGCAAAGTCTCTATCGCACTAAATGTTAAGAGAAGAACCAAAAACATCTGAATGAAGTTTAATAAGATAAATATTTCCTGTGCGGACATTTTATCTCACCCACTTAGCTCAATTGGTTTCAATGATTTTATTCTTTATTATTATTCTGTTTATATATTTATTTTAAAACATATCGTGTCCTGTTATCGTCAAGGATACTTTTATCATCAGGTCTGAAAGAATTCAATTATTTTCCATGGGAAATAGATGATATGGTTTGTAATATTTCGGTGAATATAAATAATCTGGTTTGTTTTCAAAATTTAGATTAATTATAAAAAAAAATGTTTTTAACTATTATAATAATACTACTTTCACTATAATTCATTCCTTTACGAGTGAATCCTTGAAAGAAGGGTTTGTGATTTATATATGATAAATATGGTAAAATTTTAATTACAGATAACAAAAACCCGAAAAAACCCAGCCATGACTACATAAAAAAATGTTATACATATAGAATTTTTTCCAAATCATCAATCTAATTCAATTCTTACATTTTTATGCACTTGCTGATACAACACGTCTCCCACGCATCATTGTATATGATAAAATTAAATAAAACGCATTGATAAGCAGATATAAACAATTTAATAATTATAATCTCAAAAGCAAATACAAAGCTATATAAAAGTAGCAACAGTCTAAATAAAAATACTCGTTTGTTTTTCTTTGACATACATTTAAATAGGTTTTCTTTTCTCCATAAAAGGATTAGTTCACAATTTTAAGTAATTTGAGCATAAGTAGAATTTGACAGCCCAATTAACTTAAAATCACGCCCGATCCTGTTTTTAAATAATAGCCAGGAACAGACTAAGAAGGCTAGACATCTTTGACAAAAACAAAGAATCACATATATGGGATTAATAAACACCATACTTTCTCAAGTACATAAATATTCAAAATTGCTCTTATTCGATAAATTGGCCAACTAGTAAATTTTTTTTTCAAATATCGCAAAAAATTTACTTCATGATATAATTCCAATGAGTATTAATTATAGAAGTTACTGATAATGATTAGGAAAAAGTTTTTAATTTCAATAGTCTGAGAACATTTTTTAGTCATTGCAAAATATTAGACTTGAATAATGGATATTTAACAAAATTATCATTGTTCGATTATCTAAATTTGATTCGAAAATAATAATTGTATTGTTTAACAATTATACCTACTGCAAATTTGTATTTTAGAACAGAAAATTTTCAGTTCAACACATAAATGTTGAAACGTCTCTTCAGACCTGTTTCTACCGAAATATAAGAAAACGAGGATAATACCATCAGGATACAATATCAGCAATCTCAAGATATCATGCTCATAATGGTGTAAAAAAATAAATATATGGGCTGCTGACAATGTTTCCTCATATACCTATCCAATTTTTTGGGTAAGTCTTAACAACTGTCACTGCTCTAATCCCTTAAGTCTCTGTCTTTTTTTTTAATATGGTGTCATCGGCATCGACTACTAAGGCCATTAGCCTCGTGTTCTGTGTAGCTTTGTTACTATGCGCTAGTTCAGTGATGATGTAATTATGGTTCCACTGACAATTAAAGTAACAGTAGATTTTTTGAGTGCGTTTTGTTTACCTAAATTATATCGTTTTTCACTTTTATAAATATATTCCTAAAGTAAGTAGATAACATGTATCAAATATACAATCGTTTAGTTACAAATTACATACCTTTAAACTATTTTTTATGACTTGTAAACAATAATTAAAAATAAACTTAAAACAGTAAAAACGTATATGTCAAATTTATCGATGTTTTCGTTAAAAGTTTGGTTAGAATTAAATATCAGTGGAACCAAAATGACATCACACTGAACTAGCGCATTTCCCAGCGCCACTTTAGGGACAGCACTGTTAATTATAATCCAACAATTTGGGTCTCTTACGGCTTCTGCTTTTCCAATTACCAAAAATATTCAATGAAATAAGTAACCTTCGAAACTCCTTTTATAGATACGCATATGGTAGTCACTATCAATCTTCTCGTGAACCATCATCTAAAATTTAATGAATACACTGATCTGGTGGGTGGGGTTTTCCTCACCTTTAAGTCGCCCTGGAGAGCCACGGCAAATAATAATAATAGCCGTCCTTTTCCCCGGACAAGCTCAGCTTTTGGGGTTAAAATTCACTCGTAAGGGGATGAATTTAGGGAGAATATAATTACAGTGCAACCTCGATAATCCGAATTACGCTAATCCGAACGCAAATCGTGATGCGAGATAGTCCGAACGCCGCTTCTGTAATCCGAACGCTGACAGGAAAAGACCTGCAGCGCGGTCAGCGTTGTCCATATGTAGTTTGATAATGCATTTAAATGCACAAAAATCAATATAAATACATTGATCTAAAGGTCTAAAAATGTGTAAGAGGTGTTTTATTGTATATTCGTTAGTCCGAACAATTCGATAATCCGAACAAGGTCTGACAATTAGGTGTTCCGATTAAAGAGGTTGCACTGTATTATTATCTATAACATACTAGAATGATGACGAAGCATCCACAGACAATGCATTAGTCTAATAAATGGTGAATGTATCAGTTTGGAATGCATATTCTAGAAAATACCAAAGACATCAGTCTAATAAAAGGTGGAGCCGCCGATGTATATTCTAGAGATCCACTAGAACCAGAACACATGCACCGGGCTTATCTGGTAATTTATCCAATTTCACGTGATAAACTGAATTCATACCTCGATTGGCGACAACGAATCATAGGCGGATAAAGGAAAGATTCAGAGGTGACTTGTTTAATCAAATATTTATGGTAAGTGGAAAAGTAAGAGGCACACATAAGCCAGGGAATTAGAGGAGGACCGGATTGGTCGAAAATTGCTCACATTTTAATAATCAGTATTGTTAGTGAAACAGTAATTACTGAATATTTTTACTTAAATAAGGGATTCAATATTTAAGAAATATGACATCTTCAATGACCGTTCTTAGGTACCGTATTTTTGGGACTATAAGACGCACCTCAAATTTATAAGATGATTTTTAGAAAAATATATTTTAATGTTACTTTCGGATCATAATTTTTATTTATTAACATAACTCAATGTTCAGTTCATCTCGGTACTATCACTCATCTCGTCAATGTCACTTTTCGTTTGAATTGTTTTTTCTTTTAAAACCTGCGTCAACTATTACTGTTACCTTCGGACCACAAGACGCACCCAAAATTTGAGTCCATTTTTCTATGAAAAAAGGTGTGTCATAATACGGTAGAGTCCATTTTGAAATACACCATAGCGATCGTCGAAAAACTAAACAACTAAATAAAATTGTAATGGAGGTTGGATGATGAGAAGGGACTGTTTGAAACACTTTCTAACCTGTTTTATTTTCTTGAAAGACTGGCATACCTTAATCGTTCGATGGTTTGGTCTGGACTACATTGGGACCAGATTTTGGGTAGACAGTGCAAGGGAAAGGTGCCTCCTGGAACAGAGCAAGATTTTTTAATCACGTGACCATTAAGCAAACGGAGCTTGGATGGAATATAATAACGTATTTATTTGGATTTATTTCCACGGCCTCCATCAAAATAAATTCTAGTGAAAACAGTGGTCTTCATTTGAACCAAAATCAATAGCCCAACATACTAAAATTCTACAAACTTTCAATCATTTCTGTATTTGGATCTCAGACTATTTCAACGTTTTAACGAATCTCGAAATCAATATTAAAAATTTTCAATATAATAAAAATTACTCAATTATAGATAACGTTAATATTCGTGTTTCATAAACATGTCAATAAGAACAATATTTTTTTAAACAATTACTATGAATTATTAACAGAAAAATCAACGTTTATGATTTAATAAATTTGCGTGCTCACTCAACTACAGCAACACATATATAGACAGACACATTGTCACATAACTGTCACCACCCTTGAACATTAAGTCAACTCAAAATATAACACTTAAATATAATTTATAACTATTTCGTCAGCTCAATGTTGAAAGGATTTATGACTGATAATGTATTTGCAAACACTAAAAAACTGGTATAAATTATTATATAAAAGGTAATATTTTTAAATATGATTTGAGAAAAAACACTTTGTCTAGGTTCTCTTCTTTTTCCACATGTTGCAGATTATGTTCGTATTTATTTCACAATTTTTTAATCTTGGTGTCGACATTTGCGAGCTTTGTTACCGTTTTCCTATATCACTTTAGAAACGGCATTGTTAATTAGAACCAAATAGTGAACGACCTTCGGGTATTTGGAATTAATTTTTAAATAATTATATTGATTAAAAAAAAAACCCTGGGCCTTATTATATTAGAGTACCCATCACCCTCTTTTTATAAGCGTTATAACTACAACGAACGTTTTCAGAACATTCTCCAACTATCTACCATTTTACTTTTTAGGTTTCAGCTTCAAAAGCATTTAAACCTTAACCAACTTACTTTTAACATCGTTTTTATTCACTCATTTCAAGCAATTTATGCTAACAAGTATTGACATGTCTAGTGTCACCTGTCAATAGAAGAAAAACAAAAGAACCTAGTAATAGACACGTGTTAGTTGTCAAAATTGCTCATTTCACATTTGAAACAAAAAAAGCAAATCAACAACTTTTTAGAATCGTCAACGCAATTCTTTCAATTTTATTAATCTCGAGCAAAATTGACATTTAATGCATGCCATTAGTAATAATTACGATATACCTACCTAGAAAATCACCCAACAAAAGAAACAAAAATTAAAGCAAATAACTATGTTTAGTACATTCTTTTTAATAATAAATTATCTTTTGTAATACATTTTTTTTTTAATTGAATTCCATGTATTACAAAAAACACAACATCAAAAACAAAATAAAAAAAAGGATTAAAATAACATCTTATATATGTACACTAATTATATTCAGAAAAAAATACATACGTACGTTTAGAATGGAATAAAGAAACAACAATAAATAAAAAATTTATAGTACATATAGTCTGATCTTTTTTTTAACTTAGGTTTATTAGATATTGTAAATATATTATCTATTGCTCCTTCTTTTCTTCGGTCTTCTTACCCATTGGTATTGCCGCTTTTATCCTAGAAACAAAAAAACCATTATAAGAGTGGCATCTATAACAAAAAATAAGCCTCAATGGCATGGACAGATAGATCAGCAAGAACCCGAAAACAACTTAACTGCAGCAGAAATGAAGGAGAATAGGGAGCAATATAATTTTTTGATAAAAAAATTTAAAAAAGAGTAAGATAAATTATGCCTATTTATTTTCATTAAATAATGCATGGTGACAACACTTAATACTATTTCGCTATTAGGCAAACTAGCGTTTTTAAATATTTTAATGCCAATTTTACACGGCGATTATTGCGTATTACTTGGAAAATTAATTTTTAGTCCTGAGGCAAAATAATTTATTTAGTTTACGGTTTTAGCGGTTTATAATCTTGTATAAAGGGAGTCCTTTCGTTCTGTTCCATGGAGATGTCTTTAGACACTTGCCTTCATGTCATTTGATAGTAAGGTTATGAAGTTAAAATATCTTTAATGGTTTCTCAAAAGGCCATCGAAAACCAAGTCCAAGAATTATAATTATCATATCATTTTGATAAATAAAAAAAAAATTGCAATGTTTACATCGGCTAAATGTCAATACCAAATACATAAGTGCATTTAAATCATCCCCTTCCGCTTTTGAAAAGTGTCAATTTCGAAGTAGAACGGATGATTAAAACAAACCATTCGCACAGAACTAACAATATACAAGTTCAGATTATTTTTTTTGTGGGTATAGGGCAAAATAATAAAGAATAACAGAAAAGAAGAGTATTCATATGAAGCGAGAATAATAGCAAGAAAGCAGAATAGAGCGTTCGCGATTTCGACCGATCTCATCCGTTGACTCTGACTGCGAACCAAAAACCAAACAAAATCAGTCTAGATTACATTGTATCTATACCGCGTGAAGGTAAAACAATAGATTCTGGTATCCGTTTTAAAATAACTAGGTATTTATATGCCGAACGTTAAGACCATTCGTGAAGTGGTACTATTGAGGTGAGTCGGTTCAAAATATAAACTTATTTGCAGTTGCATTTAAAAATGAGCCAATTCCTAAATTTGATAATTTTGGCTATATTAATAATTGCAAAAAAATGTTGTCCCTCTAGGCAACCACGTCAAAATCAATTGAAGGAAGAACTGGAAATTAGGGAAATGCAAGTCTGTGCATTAGCTGAAGTGAGACCATCTTCAGGTAGACACATTTCTGCTGAAGTTGACTTGAAAGAGAAAGGGAACTTAGCCAGATAATAATGGAAATAAGAATATATTAATTTTTTGAAAAATATTTTATTTCAGATGAGTCTTCTTTCACACTTTATAGAAAACAATCAATCCGTTTTATGCTATTGGTCACAGGAGAATAATCACTTAAATGTAAGCTGTACCCACACAGTATCCACAAAAAATTAATGTCTGGGTATGAATCTAGAATGATAATGTCATCGGTCCTTTTTTCATGCAGGGTAACTTGAATACCCAGAAGCATTTGCATCTACTTGCAAATTAAATTATTTCTGCCGTCCGAAACCTTCATGTCAACTTCAAGGACACTTGTTTCCAACAAGACTGACTACCTACCTAAATGAACAATTTCCCAATCGAGTTATTGATACCAAAGGCACTATAAAATTGCCACCACGGTCGCCAGACTTAGCGCCCTTTGATTTTTATTTTTGAGGAATGCCTAAAGGCAATTTATACAGGTTATAGTTTCCAACGTTACTATTAAATCTTTTTCGTGGTATTACATTTCAGTTTTTAACGTAAGATAGAACATTTGAAGGACCGTAATCCATCCAACGGACGTATTTCCTATGTTGCCCATAACAGTGAGTTATTATGAAATTATAACAAAATTAATATCCCGAGATGTTATGGCTTCGAGAGAACTAGTTAATAAGTAAATATTTCAAAAATAACGATGAAAATAAAATAGATACTGTAGGGATCCTATTGAGGAGAAAACCAAATGAGATCGTATACCATAAAGAACGATATTAAAAGAGAAAACTGGAAAAAGAACCAATCAGTTATAAGATTGAAAATAAAAAGGCAGGTTATTGTTAATATAAGATAATAGAACAAGAAAATTGTAAGCTTAATGAACTAGGAAGAAAAAACATACAGACCAAAAACGTATTGTCTTGAAATGGCTGAAAATGGATAGTGTCTAGACGAGCAAATATTGCAGGTTAATAATTAAATATGTAAATAAATGATCAAAAACTTACTTTGATGTGATATCAGCCAATTTTGTCCTAACGATTTCCAAATTGGCATCGATTTGAGTCTTGTTTGCTTCATATACCTTTGGAAGAGTGAAAAGTGCAACCCAAGCTAAAATAAATAAAATATATGTTAGCTCTTGATATACAAAGTGTTTCAAAAAGCATGGCATAAATGAACTCTAAAAAATAAGTAGGGCTTCCTTAACACAACTACAAAAAAATTAGTTGACTCATTTGTTGGAGACGTAACTTCTTAACTCCCCTATTTTGTAATTTCAATTTTGCTTGTATTTTTTAATTTGACACGTAGATAATGTATTCTTGTTTCACTTCTTTGAACTACATATTTTTTGAGATATTTGTATATATAAGTTTTCTGTATTTCTACATCTCAATCATTATTGTAAGCCACATTTTTATGTACTTAAGAATAACTTTAAGATCACCACAATTGCGTCAAAATAAATCTTCAAAAAATCATCAAATTCTATTTTAAAAGAATGTTTCAATATCTATTCATAGTACGAATATATTGGTATTCACTTGTAAACTATATTTGTTATTATCGCTTAGCAATTTTTTAGATGCTCCGGGGTTGGGGTGAAAGTTTGTTTATAATTGGGTGGGATAATTTATTAGGTTATAGTTTTACCTAAACTAGCAAAACAACTAAATCGATTATATTATAATTTGAATAATTTCTCGATTCATTTCGATAATAAAATAAACATATGATTTTTTTATTCCTAATTAGGTAATAGGTATTTCAAAGTTATAACAATACAATCTGACAAAAAACATTGTTGATCATGCTTTGATTGATTAGACAGATATTCCTAAAAACTAACAACCAATTCAATCGATTATAACATGAATTGGAAAAATAAACAACTGACATTTAAATTAATAATTGCCAATGTTCTGACGAACCGTTTGTGCAGAAGTTTCCAATTTAAAAACAAAATTTCACGTGCCTCAAATCTGCATCAAACCATCCTTATTTTGTCACACAATAAGTATCTTTGTGAAAATATACAAAATAGCAACATCGTATTATAAAGTGCAAATGTTTTTAAAAGTCTATTCCTATTGCATGTTGGAATATTGCGACATATAGCGTTTGCATTTTTAATTAATCAACAATAATCATTTATGTCTAGACATAATTTTCACCCAAGTTCAAATACATATAACTCAAGCCTTGTATGGCCCATTGATGGTAAATAGGATGTATTATGTTACGTTGGGAATGGGGTGTTAATACACTGCGACCTAAAAAATCCTATCTTTTCAAGGAAGTGTAGGATTTGGAGTGACTTCAAGTTAGGTAAATATTCCTCTTCTATTTGATATATTCCTAGGTGCAGTGCCCTTGGATTCTGGAGTGCTACACATTCAATAAGAATGTGAATGGATGTTTCGTCCTCCTCATCACAAAATCTGCACTCTTAGTTTACTAAGGTATCCTCGTTTGAGTCGGCTATGTCCAGTAAGGATATCTGTTACAATGTTTAGGCTTGTTCTTGCTCAGGCACATACAGGCTTCTGATATTTTCACTCAGAAGTATCTTAGCCTACTTTAGCCCCAATACGACGTATTAAAACGACATGATAATAAACAAGTCAATATTAAAAATTATTTCTAAATTTGCAAACAGAAATTAGGCGTAGTAATTATTCAATATACAGCCGCCATATTGTGTAAAGGTTAATAAAAAATTATAAATAATTTTATTATAATCCCTGCAATTATAGTTTTAAAGTTTTTAATGATAATATGAAATATTGATTAGTTATTATGGAATACGTTTTTGTTCAATTCATTTTTATAACATTGCTGTTTATAATTATTTCTCAATCTGCTATTTTTTTTTTTGATATTATAAAAAGTAAATTTCGTAGCCTTAAAGAAGAATACATTATTTGTCATTGCCAAATTCAAAATTAAGCAATGTGATATTTTTTTAATTTTTAACTCCTTGTAACACCAAACACAAACCATACCTATTTTTCAGAGTTCTATCGTATACAGGGTGATCATTTAAAAACTTAGCTATAGCTGTAAGTTCTCTCTTCGTACCCTAGACACGGTTTTAAACATTTTATATTATTTTTAAGTTTTTAAATTGTCACTCCATATACAGTGCTGGTAAAATCTAACAGTTGATAGCATGTCATCGATCTGTAACTGGCAACGTCGTTACCACATCCTTTCCTCTCCTACACATACTAACATCATTTTCTACTCACTCCAATACAAACAAAGCAGGCCGAGAGGTTTGATTTTGTCAGCACTGTATAATATTGGGAAATAAGTCCAAAATATTTCTGTCTTGCTTCGATGTAAATTAGAATTACGATATTCTTTATAATAAATTCATACTTTTCACGATTTTTGATGAATTATGGTCGTTTTTAATTATTGGTTTGTACTCACCAAGAATAATCAGAGTCATTCCATTGAACCATGCACCAACATATGTGAGAGTCCATAATAAAACTCCAAACTTGATGGAATCAACCAAATCTTCGACTAAGAACAATCTCCTGAGTTCTACGACACCGGCATTGATGTGTGCAACAGCTACTTCAGTGATTTCCTAAAAAAAAAAAATATATAAAATGATATTTTGTCTGAAATTTAAAAGTGTTACATGTAATAACCAATATATATACAAAGTTATCATAAAGTAAGGGACATATTTCAACTTATTAGGTATTTTTAACAAATTAATCCTTGTACTACCAAGCACCTTGTTTGCACTCCACACGTTTTTTTTGTTTTTAAGCCATTCTTTTATTGAGAAAATATAACTCTAAATCTATCTCACATGTAAAACTTATTATTTATGGCTTTTTGACCGGTTTCGGTTATACAGCCATTTTCATGCCTCTAAAGTGTTAATAAAGATGACAATAAATAGTAGTGTAACGACATACATACCTAAGATCTTTGGTGGTTTCTTAAGAACAAATTACATGTATAACAATTTTATGGCATTTGTAGATGCACTAACATTAATGAACGAATTAATTAATTATTGATAAAGTTGAACAGTTTAAACAAAAAACTCAATAACTAGATGTGGGATTATTAATAGTAAAACAAAACACAAAAGAAACGGGATATTAACTGTAAGTGCTGGAGAAGCATGGACACACTATTGCCAGCTGTGGAAATAGTAAGAATTTTATAAAAGAGCTAATAGCTAAGGTAGTAAATTCATTAAACCACCACAACCATTGGTCAATATGCAAAAAGCTCATCCAATAAAACGTTGAAATAGCTAGTTTGCAACAGTTGCAAAAAGGATTAGTGTTTTGTGAATGTCAGAAGTGGAGGGATATTAATGAATCAAAGTGGTTGTTTCCATATTTAAAAAAATTACACCCAAAATTATGAGGTGGGAGAAAAGGAAGTAAGCCTGATCGTAGGAGACAAAATTGGTCAGTCAGCTGCATGCGCAGAAACATACCGTTAGTTTGTGTATCGTGTAAATCGCGATGATTATGTTTGACACTTGCATCACCAGTTGACACGACAACTCTTTTGTTTTACATATACAGTAAAATCAAATTACTAAAGCAACTAGATTAAATTTATCTTTTGTTACTAGCTTGATTTTTATACATAAAACTTTAAGTTCCTTTACTTTATGATGACCCCATATTATACACCTCTCACCAATTATTTCACCTACCTTAACTTTTTCTTGTGGCAACGAAACGTCTAATTCCAAGAAATCTTTGAAGGGATGGCCGTCGCCTGTCTTTTGTACTGCTTGTACGATATTTTTGTAAATTCTAAAAGCTACTGTGACTGTGAGACCGATGAGTGAGAGGTACGCCACGACGCTGATGAGAGAGAAGTAGGTGAGTGCTAGGAGTACGACAAGAACTCCGCCGAAGACTGGACCTGATTTTTTGGGGTCACGCCAGTAGATTAGGCTTTCCACTGAAAACAAAAAAAAAAACAAATGTATTTTACGACATAAGAAATTAAGTCAGTTTTCTCAACTGAGCAATTATGGATTTGAAGATGATAAAACAATATTAAATATAACAATTAAGGTAGTTTTATTTTCTTATAATCAAAGACTAGAAATTATCAGTCACATATGAAATAGTGATAAAATGATGCACTCTGCAATATTTTTGATTATTCCACTCTATCCTAACACATGGTATCTTAGGATGGGATAATACATCTTTTAGTAATTTACAAAAAGCAGCTTTTCGATCTGTTGCAAAAGCAGACTTTAGAAATCACTGTGTTCCACTATTCAAACAGCTGTAATATATGAAAGCTTACTATATATAAAGAGCAACACATATTTATATAATAGACACTCTCAAGTCCACTCACACAATACAAGATGGAAAAATTCGTTAATCCAAGCTAGTTGTAGGATTAATAAATCTAAAATAGTAGGTGTAAATTACTTCAATGCATTACCAGAAGGGATACAGACACTACCTGTTTGAAAATATGAACAAAAAAATTAAAACCCTTATGATTGATATGTGCTTGTATAATTTAATGGATTATTTTGAAGCAATTAAGCATGTTGACTAGGGTAACTATGTAACACGTTCCGATATATTTTAATACTGGTATAATAAATTAAATTAATTTTAATCTTGGACTGTAATTAATGGACTACCATATTTTATTATAAATTGTAAATATTGCTATGATATAGATGTGTATGTATGTGTGTTTATACCGGGTGTTGAAATTAAAGTGTTACAGCTAAATACCGCCTATTATAAAAAAAAACATTTCAGACGAAAGTATTATAGTTTTGTGGGGAAAAAATTTTGGCTAAAATCGTTTTTTATAGCTAACCATAATATGGTCAACTTTTTTTTCGTCCAGCAAAATTTTCAAGTAGCTGTTACTCAAAAAGTAAAAGTCGAATAAAAAAAATATTTCCATCAAAAGTTTCTTATTTTTTATGCACTTTAAGAATATGTAAAAAAATAATGGGGTTCCCATTTAAAAAAACAAAGTCCATCTCGACATGGCCATATTATGGTCAGCTATAAAAAAATTAATTTGGTTAAAATGTTTCCCCCAAAAAAATATAAAACTTTTGTCTGAAACTTTTTTTTCTAAAATGCATATTTTCGGCGGTATTTAACTGTAACACTTTAATTTGAACACCCGGTATATACATTGTTTTCTTTTTTCTTTATATATTTTTTATATATATTTTTTTTTTTTGACAAATGTAAATGTTTAAAGTACGTAACACTGAGTAAAGATTATTATTATTATTATTATTATTAGTATTAGTCATTTAAAAAAGAAGAAAAGTTGTAATCTCCGGCATAATTCCTACTTTACTTTATATGAAATGAGTATGGTCCTATATTATTCAGTGTTCTTGAATTACATTATTAAAAAGCAATTAATGTTGAAAATTATGACGAAATTAGTAACTCAGCATATTCTGGATGCTTTTTAATTAATTGCATATGGATGGGTGACCTCTAGGTTAAATTAGATAATAAAATTCGGTAAGTAAATAGTATTAGCAGTTTCTCTATCAAAAACAAGGGATGATTTGAAAGCCATTAATATTACGTTTTGAAACAAATAGTATGAAAAATAAATATTTTGTGTCACTTTCAAGATAAAAAAAATATATTAATTGATTTTGGCCCAGAAATTATGGTTTTAATTTGTTCATTATAAAGGAGTTGTGTATAGAAATTTCTTTGTAACTGCTAGACTATACATACTATACTAATTTACCAATATTATTTTTTATACTTATTGATGGGTATACTTTTATAATATCAAAGAAAAAAATGTTTTATGGTGGATGTAGCGACTCTTAAAAAAGGAAATATTTAATACCGTTTTTACGTTTCAAATCATTTAATGGCCTCTTTGGTATGCTGGTAATATTTAAATTTTGTGAATCTAATTTAAATAAATTATAAAAATTAAAGATAGCAAAAGTATGAAACAAATGGTTATCGTAAAATAAAAAGATATGAAACCAAATTATGTACGTAGATGACAGGATTTAGAATGACCTACATAAAAAAATGAATGTTGTCAATTTTTAAGAGAAAAATATCGGATTTTTAAAAAAATCAGGTAGGTGTACCGACCTCTCATAAGTGTACCTAGGTATCAAAAGTAAATTTTAATTATTGACAGGATGACTTATTTATAAAAATAAATAAAAAAATGTTTATTTATAAACCATATTATAGGTCTCTATTTAAGTTCGAGAAAAGTACCTACAGTGTTGCAACTACCTATAAAACTTTCTATTCCAAAAATATAAACTCTGAATTATAATTTCTTAAATTAAAGTGTTTATCTAATACAGTTACACTCAAACCAAATGTTCACCACGAAAATCCAAGAAAAGATTATAATTTTCATAGATGCCTCGTGTAAAAGAAACCCAAATACAGCCAGCCATATGTTGGAGAGACAAAGAACATAGAGACATTACACATAATTCTTGAATTAAAACTAGTTAAATCTTACCCGGTCCCTTTTCAGGTAAATCTTCTGATCCGTTTTGTTGATACCTGGCTGGTTTGCGACCCATTTTTTCAATATATAATACGTATTTTATGTGTTTTTTATTAATAAACGTGGGCACTGTTCGCACAGTCAGATATATCTATAAGGTGCCGATGCTAAAAAGTGAGTACCCGTTGCCCGTACCCACTCTCTATTTTCGTATTTTCTGTTGGAACTGGTGTATTATTTACTCTCGCTATTTTAGCAGAGTTGCCAGACTTCGAAAATATTTAGTTATAAACTAAATGCCAGGTTTTATTCAATGTCTGAGAATTAGTAGAGTGAAATTAGGTAGTGTGAATAAAGTTCCTAGTTAGTATTATTAATTTAATTTAACGAAGAACAGTAACAAAATATAATACAAAATACATAGAAATAAAAATTATAAAATAAATGAATAGAAAACAATGACGCAATTTTAGTCTAAACATATTTTTGATAAACTTGTTTAATTATATAAGAATTTTTTTTATTAAAATAGAAAACTAGTTTTCGATTTAAATACTGGGGCCTATTCCAGATTGGATCAGATTTGATTGGTACTATCGCTGTAAGTCCTAATAAAATAATATTACTGTTAACTCATTAAGAACTCTTCAAATTTTCTAAGAGAACTGCAAAAATGTATATTTTAAATAAATATTGTCGAAATGTAAGGGACCAGATATAACGGCGATATTTCGATTACTATACGGCTTAATTTAAATTATGTGCTTTTTGAGTTGTGAAGGTAGTATTCTATTACAAAATAGGCCTGCAAATTTTTAACATCTAATCTTACTATATTGGTATACCTACTGTAAAACCGAGAAAACTGTTTTTCTAATAGTTTATTTTATGGAGAGAGTAACCCTAGATTTTATGACTGAGCTATTCAATGATACTATAATAGGTAACTACATTTCCCGTTAATTACTTATGTTATTTAGGTAGGTGTAGGTACTATACTTACTCTAATAAAGTTCAAACGAAACTGAAGAAAAAGTAAACATTCAAAAATGTAAACTGTATAAATATATAAAAAATACAAAAAACATCGATTAACTTCAACAAAACAGTAGCGTACCTTGAATAATTTATTTCAAATAATTATTAAAACGTTTAAAACTAAACAACTGTGATTCTCCACTTCAATTATTATTTTTTATTAAGGGGATCCTCTAGTTTTTCGGTTTTTTTTTACGGCTTTTTCAATAATTTTTCACGGGCAAATCATCAAAATAACAAATCTTATTGTTTTTACATAATCTTTATTAACATTTAAATGAGCTTTACAAAATTTTTGAAGACAAAATATATAAAAAAAACAAAGTTATAGTGGCCGATAAGAAGACATCAAGTGAAGGTGTTTGACGGTGTCCAAGATTGCGAAATCAAAAAATCAAACGGCATTTTAATCTTCATATTTAAGACTAGCGACTAGCGATTGAACCAGAATGAATTCTAAATTACAAAAATTATTTTTTTTATACACATTTGAAAATTAAATTCTATTTTTACTTATTTTTTCTTAAGTTTCTCGCTCGTAAAAAAAAACTATCAAAGCAATAATGATAATCCTAGTTCAATCGCTGGCTTATAACATATTAAAGATGTATAAATGTGAACAATATCGGTGCAGTAGTTTTTGAAATATCGTGGTCACCGTCCTACACTTGATGTCTTCCTGTCGGCCACCATAACTTTGATTCTATTATATATTTTGTCTTCAAAAAATTTGTAAAGCTCATTTAAATGTTAATAAAGATTATGTAAAAACAATGACATTTGTTATTTCGATGGTTTGCCCGTAAAAAAATATTGAAAAAGCCGTAAAAAAAACAACTGAGAAACTAGAGGACCCCCTTAAATATTTTTTATATAAAAATGCACTAATAAATTGCAGATACTTGTTGATATAAATAAATGATATAGTATACAATGATAGTATTTTTAAACGGTAACAAATTTACTCATTTCCTAAAGAAACTATAGAAGACTTGACAACGCTGTACCAACTTGTAGCAAGGCATGATAAACGTGGCATGAGTGTACGCCTCTTGGTAGACACCTCACCCATAAGCCAAAAGTATGTATACCTACATCTTAATACGTGTGCTAATCTTGAACTGTCTAGTCTGCTAATTTCATTATGCATGTGGATACCTACATTATTATTTATAAAACATTATGAAAGCAAGCGATGTTTTAGGTACCTACTTGCGTAAGAACAAGCGCTAGAAAGTAATGTACCTACGTATAATCAAAATTTGGAACTTTATGAAGAGAACTTATAAATTAATTTCGACACTACATATGGTAAACCTACATGGCATAGTAAAGAATTAATATCTGCAATCGCCATTTGCATTATACAGCAATATATTAGAAACTGCAAAATTTAAGACACACTCAAAAAATAA